GACGTGTTTGGTAACCCCTACTCATGTAGTTGGCAGGTCGGCGGAAGCGGTTGCTTGATGGCAGGTTGATGTAAAGATCAATAAGGTTGTTGGACAAGTGCTGCGTGAGCGAGTACTCTTGCTTCTGCTCGTCGTGTTCGCCACTAGAGAGGACTTCCAGGAACTTGACCGGAATGCCGTGCTCTTGAATGTAATCGGCAGTTCCAGCAGTTGCGAAGAGGTTGTAGCCCATCTTGTGCAAGCGCTCAATTGATGGAAGCATCTCCAACTTGTCCTTGAACGAACCAATCGACAAGAGAATGTTCTTCTTTGGCAGCCTAAAGCCAGTGGCGATGAGGCCCTTGATATAGGCTTCGTACTTGGTACGTCCGAAGCAAGCAACTTCACCGGTGGAAGCCATCTCTACACCAAGAACAGGATCGGCACCAGAGAGACGAGAGAATGAGAACTGGGGAACCTTGACACCGACGTATTCTGCAGGAATATTGACCGGTGGGTACTCCTGGACAGGCAGACCAGCCATGGCCTTGGTAGCCATCTCAATCAGGTCGACGCCCATGACCTTGGAGACGAAGGGGAAAGATCGAGAGGCACGAACGTTGCACTCAATGACCTTGATCTCGTTGTCCTTGGCAATGAACTGAATGTTGTACGGTCCTGTAATGTTGAGAGCTGCTCCAATCTTGCGAGTGGCATCTTCGATCTGTCTCACGGTCTCGGGATCGAGATCCTGGGGAGGCAGGATCAAAGTGGCATCACCGGAGTGAACACCAGCATTCTCTACGTGTTCAGAGATGAAGTGTCCGATCATCGTACCCTTGTTGGCAACAGCGTCCATCTCGATTTCCTTGGCATTCTCGATGTACTTTGTAATAACGACAGGATGTTCCTTAGACACATCTGCCGCTTGGTTCAAGTAATTGGCCAGATCGTGCTTCGAGTAGACAGTGTTCATGGCGGCTCCAGACAAGACGTAGGAAGGACGAACCAAGACGGGGTAAGATACCCGCTCGCAGAACTCAGTCGCCTCCTCAATGCTTGTGAGCTCTTTCCAGGCAGGCTGGTCTACAGAGATACGGTCAAGCATACGTGAGAACTTGTATCTGTTCTCTGCGGTGTCGATCATCTCTGGGGAAGTACCAAGGATCTTGACGTTCATGCGGTGCAGCGGTAGGGCAATGTTGTTAGAAGTCTGACCACCCATGCTTACGACTACGCCGCTCGAGTTCTCTATGGCGTAGATGTCCAGCACGGTTTCCAAAGAGATACACTCAAAGTAGAGACGATCGGCCTCGTCGTAATCAGTGGATACGGTCTCGGGGTTGTAATTCAACATGACGGTCTTGAAGCCCTGCTGTCTGAGTGTGCGGATAGCACGGACAGAGCACCAATCGAACTCGACAGAAGATCCGATACGGTACACACCGGAACCGAGCACCATGATACCCTTGTCATTGAAGCTGATGTCATGCTCAGTGCCGTTGTATGTGAGGTAAAGGTAGTTGGTTACGGCAGGGAACTCAGCAGCGACAGTATCAATCTGCTTCACAACAGGGAAGATGCCAGCATCGACACGTACACGGCGTACAGCAAGCTCATTGGATGCCCAGAATTTGGCAAGTTGGCGGTCAGAGAATCCGAGCTGCTTGGCTTTCTTGATCAAGGGCTTGGTGATGCTGACAGTGTCGTAGTCCGCCATTAATTTCTCGAAGTCACTTAGAGACTTGAGACGGCTGAGGAACCACTTGTCGATCTTGGTCATCTCCCAGATCTTGTCGACGCTGTATCCAGCTTTCATAGCATTGGCAATAGCAAAGAGGCGCTGATCGGAAGGTGTTTGCAGTTCCTGATCGATTTCCATCAAGGCAGGGGTCTCGTTGAAACCAAGATTGCTAGGGTCAATCTCACGAATAGCCTTTTGTAAGGCCTCCTCGAACGTCCGGCCAATGCTCATGACCTCTCCGACACTCTTCATAGATGAGCCGAGAAGAGTCGATACACGGGTGAACTTCTTCAAATCCCAGCGAGGAATCTTGACCACGACATAATCGAGGGATGGCTCGAAACAAGCGCAAGTCGAGCGTGTGACTGAGTTAGAGATCTCGTTGAGAGGGATGTTCAGACCAAGCTTGGCAGCGACGAATGCAAGAGGATATCCAGTGGCCTTGGAAGCAAGAGCGGAAGAACGCGAAAGACGAGCGTTGACCTCAATAATGCAGTACTCTTTGGAGAATGGGTTGAGTGCGTACTGAATGTTGCACTCACCAACAACACCAAGATGGCGGATAACGTTGACAGCAGTCGTTCGGAGCATGTTGTAGTCAGCATCCGAAAGGGTCTGCGAGGGTGCAACGACAATAGAGTCTCCAGTGTGAATACCGAGCGGGTCGAAGTTCTCCATGTTACAAACGGTAATGCAGTTATCCCGGCAATCACGGACGACTTCGTACTCGATCTCCTTCCATCCCTTCATACTGCGCTCAATGAGCACCTGAGGACTGGCTGCAAAAGCCTTGTTGCACAGGTCAAGTAGTTGTTGCTCGTTGTCGGCGAAGCCACTACCGAGTCCACCAAGAGCATATGCTGCTCGGACAATGACAGGGAAGCCAATGTCTTTGACCGCATTCATGGCTTCTTCAACGTTGTTGGCAGATGCAGACTTGGCGCACTTCTCTCCGATAGACTCCATACTACGGGCAAAGAGCTCGCGGTCCTCGGTGGTAATGATGGTGTCAATTGGGGTACCAAGAACCTTGACACCAAGACCTTCGAATTCATCCTTGAGCTGAATACCGACCTGGAGTGCAGTCTGACCACCAAAGGTTACGTAGATACCATCGGGTCGCTCTTTCTGAATGACCTTGCGAACGAAGTCTGCGTTGACAGGCAAGAAATAGACCTTGTCGGCGAGACCCTTTGAGGTTTGGATGGTGGCGATGTTGGGGTTGATCAAGATAGTGTAGATACCCTCTTCCTTCAAAGCCTTAATAGCCTGGCTACCAGAGTAGTCAAACTCTCCAGCTTGTCCAATGCTCAAGCCTCCACTTCCAAGAACAAGGACCTTCTTGACGTCGACCCTAGGGGTGAGCTTCCTGTTCTCTTCGAAAGTACCACCAGGGAATTCTACTGGTTTTGACATGACCTCTGGTGATGTCATGGCCTTTTGGATGGTACTAATGAAGACATCGAAGAGGTACTCTGTGTCACGGGGACCAGGTGTATGTTCAGGGTGGAATTGCACACTGAAGTATGGCTTTTGCTGGTGTCGGATACCCTCGTTACTGCCGTCATTGGCGTTAACGAAGAGCTCCTCCCAGCCGCTGGGCAGAGTTTTGGAGTCGACAGCATATCCGTGGTTCTGCGAGGTGATGTGGCACTTTCCAGTGAGCAAGCTTGTGCAGGGAATGTTGGCACCACGGTTACCAAACTTCATCTTGATTGTGCTGGCGCCGGCCGCTCGAGCGAGCAGTTGGTGGCCAAGACAGATACCAAAGATGGGTGTTCGGGCCTCATTCATGGCGGTCTTGATGTGCTGTACTGTAGACTCCATCATGGCTGGGTCACCGGGACCGTTGGAGATGAAGAGACCATCGTAATCCTTGCCGGCAAGCTTGGGGAAGTCGTAGTCCCAAGGCACTTGTAGAACCTCGACTCCCCTTCGCACCAAGCATCTCAATTGGTTGTATTTGAGACCCACGTCAACGGTTACTACACGAACAGGACGACCAGAGGGGTGCTTGAGCGCAGTGGCGGGATCGGGAGAGTAAAGCTTTGGCTCCTTGATGGAGACTGGAAAGTGTCAGGAATGGCATGACTTTGGAAGTGGGGCGAACGTACCTTCGGCAACAAGGTTCTTCTTGTTGGGGTCTACCCATTCAATCTGCTCGAAGCTGCTCCTCCAGTCGGCCTCGCCCTCGGTGAGAGCAGCAGAGGGTGTTGGTGCGGTCCTCTGGAGAAGACGTCCAAGCATGCTTCCCTCTTCTCTGATACGCTTGGTCAGCGCTCGCGTGTCGACGCCTGTGATGGCGGGCACGCCCTGTTCCTTGAGCCATGCACCCAGCGAAGAGGTGGCCAAGTGGTGAGAGTATTCCTCGCCGGCATATGTAGCCACGACAAGTCCAGCAATGTGAATCTCTTTGGACTCAAAATGTGCTGGGACTTCTTTGAGCAGACTGTCCATGTCCTCTCGAGACGGAACGCCATAGTTGCCCACAAGAGGAAATGTGATGACAAGAATTTGGCCTCTGTACGAAGGGTCTGTTACAGACTCGGGGTAGCCGACCATACCAGTCTGGAAGACAAGCTCTCCAGAGATGCTCTTGTCGGCACCGAAGCTTTGTCCAAAACAGACGTAGCCATCTTGAAGCTCGAGTGCCAGATTCTGGCTTTGTTCGGGCAGGGATGCCATAATTGAGGATACAAGAGACAGCTCTAGGGCTATGGAACCCTGGGGATGCGAGACTGCCGGGCAATTTGAGGGGAGAGGAGAGTTCTTGAAGGCTCAACGGAAAAGAAAAAAAAGTTTCGGAGCCTCACTGCAGTTGAAAAAAACGAAAACGGCCTAGCTGCAGGTGTATGGCGGGGTTGATTGGTCTGCCCCACCTGGGCGAATGACGAGGCTTGTTGCGGCGCCGAAGCTGCGAATCGAGGTATCCGGGCCACTGCATATGTACGTAGACATTTTTTTCCTCTACCCAAACGGAATGTCATGATTTGATGCCGAGCCAGCCTTGACATACGCAAACGTCCTAGCTCCATGTCTCTGGGCTAGGGGGATACACGTTGAGAAGTCAAAGGTCAACAAAGAGTGCACGTGACACAGGCTTATCGATAAGTAGCAGAGAGGGCAGAGCGCCGACTGCCCCTCATGGCCGATGTATGTTCGGATGATGGATTTTCATCTACGGTGTGCCTCGGCGCGAAGTACTGAGGGCGAGATAAATATGTACGTACGTATGTGGTCATGCAGCAGGCTGGCAAACAAGCATATCCTGCTGTATTCAAGCAGGATCTGCGCCTACTCGGACACGGACAGAGACGCTATACGCATCGTGCTGGATGCAAGGGATCGCAGGGGTGTGGCAGGGCGGTGTGCACCCCAAGTCGCCAGTCTCGCCAGCACTGCCAATGACGAAGATCGGGGGGTGCAGTGGAGTCGATGATGCGCGCAGGATCCAACGGTTCAGCTGCAGCACGACATCACCGTCGTCGGTTCTTTTTTTCACGCGCAGCGGCATTTTTTTGTCAGCGTGGGTGGGTGAGGGAGCAGGCATGGGCATTGGAAGTAGTAAGTAGACCGTCGATGGCCGCGCGCAAAGCCCGATAGCGGGAGGGTGACAAATGGGATATCGTACATGGGCAATCGCTATTGCTAGGAATAGACAGATCTAGTTGTCGTCCTTGTCGAGGGAACATGCAGGGCTCTCGCGTCGGCGTGGTAGTGGGCAGTGAGCCCCGTCGCAGCATCTTGGAAGCCGTCGTCTAGATGCCCGCAGACCGCGCGGGGCATATGACGGCACCCCCATGGCCATCTGTCCAATTTGGCAGGACAGAAGCATTTGCATTCCGTGGCTTGCGGCTGAGCCCAGCGGGAGCGAGGCATCGGGGTCCTATTGCGTGTTTGCGCCTAGTGGTTGGCATTGGCACAGCGCAAAGCAAGAATCCCAGCATGTGAAGATCTGAGGTGTTTTAACGTCCAAGTAGAGTAGGCCGTGGAGGGCGCGCGCATGCTGCACCCCAGATGTACGCGCCACTTGAGCGATAAGCCATCCCCCATGCAGGCATCCGGTGTCGATGACGAGGGGCGAAAAGGAAAAGAGGTGTAGTGGAGCAGGCCGTGGTCGCATTTGCGCCTGTCTGTGTATGCCCTCGGCGCCGCCCACGCTCGCAGGCCCTGGCTGCATGTGGTGCGCGCCGCCGGCGATTGGCTGGATAGCCGTGTGTGGACATGGACGAGGCAACATGGCGGTCGCGTCTCACCCTTCCTCATGATGCCTCGACGGCACGATGCCGCATGACGGCCTTAATCTGGGCAGTGGACCATGTGCGGCACGAAAATGGGCAAGAGCGCTTTTATCGCCCTCTTCTGTGCTTCATTTCCCACCCCGTGGTGAAACCTGGCCTAGCATCTCCACCCACCGAGCCCCGGCATCTCTCCCGCCCTCCCTCCTATCTCCCCTCAGTCTGCTCCGACTTTGACGACAGACGCCGCTGCCCTGGAGACAAGAGGCCCTCTCCATGTTCTCCTCATTCTTCGCCTCAAAGTCACGCCGGCCCTCAGAGACGACACCACTGCTCGCCGCAATCGACAGGTACCGCCGCCGCCACAATGGCGACGAGTCGGACCAGGCCGACCACGACCCGGGCGCGGTAGCCCATTTCGACGCCGACGACGACGAGTATGAGGACGAGGACGAGCATCAGCATCGGCCTCAGCGCCGCCAGCGCGATGGGCCTTTGCTCCCAGTCTTCTCCCCCGAAATCTTGGGTAGGCGCACCGTCTAGATGCCGCTCATGTTCTCATCTCCTGACACCCCCATACAGATCGCATACCCATTTACAACACCACGCACGCCATCCGCATCATCCTCGTCCAGCGATGTGAAACGACGCTCTCCTGGGACCAACTGCGCTCGCCCCAAGTCTCACAATTCCTCGTCAAGCCCATCCAACAGCAACTTCGTTCCGACCAGTTCTCGCGCGGACTGCTCTACTGCCTCCTCGCAAATTGTCTGCAGTTCAAGAAGGAGGGCGAGGAGAACCCTGGTAACGTGGGCGTTAGCAAGACCCGTGCCCTGATATGCGAGCTGCTGGCCGTGAGGCTGCTCAAGGAGTTTTCAACCCGCGAGCTGATTGATGCGCTCTCCTATGATTTCGATCCCTTGCAGGGCTTGGCCATGCCAGCACGCGGCAACATGACCCCAGGCAGCCGAAATTGGTCGAGACAGGCGCATCGTTCTGCGCGCATCTCGACCCTCGAAATTGCCATTCGCGCTCAGGCAAAGAAGTTTCTCGCTCATCCGCTTGTTGTGCGCCAGCTCGAGGCTATTTGGGCAGGCACCATCGTCTTCCACTCTACTGCCGATAGCCTGCACCGGAAGCCCGACTCCCCCCAGGCGCGCAGCTCCAATGCCTCTGGCGCCGCCTCGCCAAGAACAGGTCCCTCTCGCCGTGCGCCACCCACCAAGCCCTCCCCTCCTCTGACCCAGCCCGCTACAATTCTTCGACGAACCGTGACGCTATACGATCCCCACGATGCATCACTCTTCAAACTCTCCCGCTTGCGAGTTCCTCGCTACCGCAATCTGTTTTCGACTCTCTCCTTTGCTATTATGCTGGGCCTGTTTCTCGCCGTACTCTCGCAAAAGTCCGACGACATCACTGGACTCGAGGTACTCTTTTGGTTTTGGAGCGCCGGTTACATGCTCGATGAGGTGGTGGGCTTTTCAGAACAGGGTTTTGGTCTGTACATTATGAGTGTGTGGAATGCCTTTGATCTAGGCATTCTGCTCATGTTCATGGCATACTATATTCTGCGTCTATATGGTATCCTCATGCCAGACGTCAGCAGCACCAGAGTTGCAGCCATGGCATATGACGTACTGGGGTCTACGGCAGTCTTGCTATTTCCCCGACTCTTCTCCGCCCTGGACCACTACCGCTACTTTTCTCAGCTACTAATTGCCTTCAAGATGATGGCTGTTGACTTGGTTGCGCTGCTTGTACTGATCATCATCAGCTGCAGTGGTTTCTTTGTTGCCTTTAGCTTGGCTTTCAAGCGAGATCTGGGCCCCTCAAATGCTGCATATGCAATCTTCCAGCTCGTCATGGGATTCAGCCCTGCCGCCTGGGACCTCTGGGGAGATATGAACTTTCTTGGCAAGACCCTGCTTGCCTTGTTCCTCTTCATCTGTCATTTCCTTGTTGTGACCATCCTCATCACAGTCTTGACAAACTCGTTCATGGCCGTCGTCAAGAATGCTGATGAGGAGCATCAATTCCTGTTCGCCGTAAACACGATTTCCATGGTCAAGTCGGATGCACTGTTTTCCTACATTCCACCCACTAACATCATCGGATGGCTATTGATTCCACTCAAGTACACGATGCCGTTCAAAAAATTTCTACGCATGAACCGGTTCATCATCAAGGTGACGCATCTTCCCATTCTTTTCGTCATCTTCGTCTACGAGCGCCTTATTCTGTCGCATCTTGCATATGGCCCGACTGATCTTGTCGAGAGGCGAGGACGGGCAGATTCAAAAGCCCCCGTGCCAGCGTTTAGCATTCGTGGCCCTGTAGATTTGTTCAGCCCCCGCTTGCGTGAGCCTTCTGTTACCACGTTCCAGAAGGACCAGGCGTTGGAAGAAGTGTTTCGTAGGCCCTATCTCGACCCTAGCTTCCAGCCCACTCCTAGGTACCCAACCCCGAGAAGGAATTCTGGTAACGTCGTGTCGGACTGGATGAGAAAGATGGGTAACGACGATGAAAACACGCCACCTCAGGATGATTCACGATCAGTGCTGGATCGGCTTGAGGGTCGTCAGCGACCCTATTTGCGAAGGAGCAGAACTTCCGGTCAGCAAAGGCGAAAGCATCCACTTGCTGCCGCAAGGGCTGTTGTGTCAGACCCAGATGAGCTTGTGACACCTCTCACTGGTCCCATCGCCGAAGAGTCGGAACCCGAAGTTGACAAGGCAGCCATGGAGGAAGCGCCACAGCAAACCGATGCCGATGGAGATGATGAAGATGATCAAGCCAGCACCGACCAAAACGTTACTCCTCGACATGAGCCTAGTCCAAAAGAGAGTAAGAGGCCTCAGACTGGATACGAGTCTTCCGAGGATGAATTTTTCCGTACGCCCATGACTGGCGTTCAGCGGACGCAGACGCGCTCTTCAGGGATTGCAATTGAGCCATCAGAGTCTAGTTTCAGGGAGAGCAAGCCAATGTCGCCTGGCAAGAAGCGGTTGAAACCAACGCACAATCGAAATACATCTACGAGCACGATCCTGTTCAGTCCCATCAAAGACACGATGAGCACATCTCGTGCAGTATCACCCGAAAAACGGCCCAAGACCGGCAATCGCAGTGGAACTGCCACCGGAACAGCCACCCCAGGTCGTTTGGAGGGTTCAAGCGGGACGGGTGCACGTACACCTAAGCGGGTACTGCCTACTCCCGCTCCCGGCACTCGACCTCGTGCGATCATGCCACCACGGAGGAATTCGGCTAATTTGCTCTTAAACGACAACTTGACGCGTGAGCCGTCTTTCAGCGCAATTGCCTTGGACCTAGCGTCGGACATTGGAGACAATGCGCTAAATCCTAATTTTGGCAACCTCAGCGGACTGCCTGCATCTTTTACAACGCAATTCGAAATGGCTGCTAGGATGAAGGCGCGCGAGAAGCAAAAGGGTAGCGACAATGACTCGGACTCGAACCGTATGAGCAGAATTATGCTCGCACGAATGACGACACTGGAGGAAGGCTTCCGTGACATGCTCCAGGAGGTCAAGGGCTTGAAGCAAGGGGAGAGCCAAGGGGGCAGTCGGGGAACGCATTCCCCACCCAGTGAACCTATGAGTAAGAAGAAGGGAAAAGCGAAGAAGAAACTCAGTAAGCGTGGCGAGGGGTCTGGAGATAGAGTTGATTCCAGTACGTGAGCCAGTATGGAGAGGCATGACACGACATGATGCAGTCGCTTGCATTTGCATATCCGGTGTTATCTGCGCATTTACAAGGCCCATGGCCTTTTTTTCGGGGTGGTTTGGTATTCTGCTTCTGGGAAACATGCCCAATGGATGTTTATGTCTAATCAGAGGCGTTTCTTTATCAGATTTGGACATCGTAGTCCTCTGGGTTCTGGTCTGCTTTTCTTGTATCGTCATAGCGTATTTTGCATTGGCCTCACGATTTGTAATTGCTTAGTCTAATATACTTGCTGCCTATGCATTCATATGCGCGGCTTGCACAAAATTTTGGTCCTTGATAAGAGAGATATTGAGAGTAGCCAGTAGAAATCATGGTGGTCATCTGTAGTGCGTGCAGCTATCCTGCTAACACTACTTTTCTTTGACATTGTTAGTACTGTCGTGACTGTTTTTGTTCGAAGACTGCGATGTACGCATTTCTTCGCTCATTACCATGCCCATTCCCCTAAGGACTTCTCGGTCCGTCTCGCATGTATCCATTTATACCATACAACCAGTGAAATGAACAATCTAGAAGCACCTTAAAATAGAGTTATCTGTCCTCCATGGATCACCTGACACAAACTAGGGATCAGCTAGAACACACGACCCAGACCTGCGCATGTCCATATCCGCCGATCTACCGCTCCACAAGTCCCTGAAGATCTTTTCAGACCTAAGATCTCACCATGACGAATCACACATTGCGAAAGCGGTAACGATCAGTTTCCACGGGTCTGGCTCGATGGAATACAAGTGTCTAGAACTATTGCTAAAAGGAAACACGCAACACATTTGGTCGTGCGCGCCCACAATTTTTCTATTGGGATTTTGCAGGTGTGGCTGAACAGGCAATACTTGGGGCATATCGCCACACGTATATGCATAAGAAATGTAAGAAACGATTGTAGCTAAAAATTGCGCATGTATTGACAGCTTCACAAAAGTTGCATGATCATGCTATCGCATCGCGGCGAGATTGCCTATAGCGGATAAAAGAAGAGATATAGATATATGTGTAGCTATGTATAGAACATTTCCACCATCTTCCTAGCATTTTCTATACAATGCAACACCGAGTTTCAGTCAATTGGACAGCAAGTGTGAAGAGTACAATACTTCCCATCTTCGATCATCCTCTAGCCGAAAAAAATCCTGGAAACTCTTTCTGAGAAGTGAAACCAAAAAGTTTCCCCCGAACATGTTGTGAAAAGGCAAAGAACGATTGATTCTAGAACTCTGGGTAGCAACAAGAAAAGAATAAAAAGGTGGGTCCGCTACTATGCATGGAAACGATGGCATTGATCGGAAAGGTACGGGGAGATGAGGCGCAGACGTAATGAACAACGTTTGTGTATGTGCTCATGGGGTGACGCGCGCCCTTTCCCCACAGTCCAAGCCAAAAGGTGGGGGGAATTTGTTTCTCGACCGGAACCTCAAAGCAGGGAAAACCAAGGTTCGAGGTTGCGTGCGTCTCCCTCCGCCCGCCCCGCCCAGCCTCTCCCCGCGCCCTTGCTAGGTGGGAAGCTTGTGTATTGCGAGTTTCTTGAGTGGTACTTATTTCGCGTGTTTCTCTCTTTCTCTTTGACTTTTTGACTTTACTTTACCTTTGCAGACAAACTTAAACAAACCCTTGGTGCATCAATTCTCCGAACACCAACTCTCACATCCCCGACTCAGTGCGATTTGAGTGATTTTCTTTTATCCCTATCACTCTAATAGAGTCGACTGAATCGTCGTTCTCAAACTACCTGAATTAAAGTTTCCATCTCCAGCCGCTAGGAAAGCCACCAAACGAAACCTTCTCCCCGCAGCTTTCCAAGCAATTTGGAATAGAGTACCAGACAAAGGACTGGTGTGGTTGCTTTGACTCTACGAAACCCTTGAAAAAAAGGGAGCCTCAGACGATCGAAACACCCTTACAAATACTTGTGTGGACACCAGCAACGGGGGCAATTGACAACGGAATATCCAAAAACGAACATGGCGCCCATCCACAAAACACCCAGCGAAGAAGGTATGCATCCGTCACCGCCCCCCTCCCTAAATCCCCTCTCCACAAAAACGACCACAAAACTAACCCTTCCTTCTCCCCCACAGAAATCGCAAAAACCCTTGGCAACCTCAAGCTCTCGCCCTCACACCCCGAGAAACCGCTCAAGAAACCCAAATCCAAGCCCGTAGCCGACAGCTGGGACGACGACGACGCCCTCAGTTCCTCAGACACCGAAACAGAAACCAGCAGTTCCATACAAAAAAGGGGCAAAGTATCGCAAGACGGCGGTAGTAGCAAATCCTCACCCCAAGACGCCCTAAAACCCCTCTCAACAACAACGTCCCACGACACCGACGTGCCGCCCAACCCCCCACCCCCGACTCCGGCCTCGCCCACGCAATTCGAGTACCCACACGGCGACAGCATGGGGTATAGCATTGGGGTCGAGGGACCGCGGAGTAGGAATAGTCCTGCGAGCCTGGATAAGCGGCCGGAGAAGACGACGGCGGTGGCGGGGAGGATGATTGCGGGGGCGTTGGGGGTACGGGCGCCGAGGAGGACGGAGGAGGAGAGGGAGTATGATCGGGTTATGAGGGAGAAGGAGAGGAAGAGACGGGCGGAGGAGAAGGAGAGGGAGAAGAGGGAGGCCGAAGCGAGAGAGGCGAGGAAGAAGGCTGTTTGGGATGATTAAGAGGAGAAATGGAGTGGTCGTATCATCTAGACGTTTGAAGGACAAGTATGAAGCCTCGTCGTTTTGTATATAAATATAATATTTACAGGCATGTACAATTGACCTTTTGCTTTTTTTTTCTTTGTAGGCAGACTTGCGTCATCAGGTCACGATATTCGATTGTATGATTGCACAGCAAGTGAAGGGTTTCCCAATGCATACAAGGGCCTGATGGAAGAACAGTAAATGTAGTGAATTTCAAATCATCTCCCGCGTTAAAGTGCATCTACACACACGCACCCCTACCCGCTGCCGCTACTACCTGAATGAAGAACATCAAGAGGGGACCGCCCAAAGACGGAGCTTGGTAGTACCATGACGCCAGAAAATCCGTGATATCCATATCTGACAGCAAAATAAAAAGGAAAAAGTGCGAAAAAGGAAGAAAAGGACAAGGTCAACTGTTTCCGCCACGCTTTCGCGCAAATCAATCATGTCTTTGTACGGCTCGGGCAAGTCGCAAGGTCGGCTAGTGGGGTTGGGCTGATGTGGGAGGTATAGACAGTCAGTCATGTGGCCGCCGGTTATTCAGGGCAGATCAAAGCTCCAGACAAAGCCATGTTGTTAATGGTGCTGGTCAGCATCCGCCAATCTGCTCCTGGTGGACCTCGAGGGTGTCGCCATCCTGCATGTCAAGCTATGCCGTGTTAGTCCATCTGTGTGCGTGCGTGCGTGTATATGTGTGTGTGTGTTGTTAGGCTAACGGCCAATGTACCCCGCGAAAAAAAGAAGAAGGGAGTAAAACAAAAAAGGATTGGCGGCGGTGGAAGGGCGGAGGGCGGCGAAAAAAAGAAGTTGGCTACGTACCGTATCTGGGTTGTCCTGGGCAGTGACACGCTGGCCGTCGAAGAGAAATCGGACGCTGGAAATGTTCTTGCCCTGGCGGTCGCAGAAGGCGTTCATGAGCTTGCCGAGGGCCGTGGTGCGCTTGATCTTGAAAAAGACCTCGTTGTTGTTGTCCGTGACCTTGATGTTCAGGTGTTCGCTCTGGCCGCCGTCCTCGGGCTTCTGCTGCACGTTGTTGGGGGAACCGTTCTCCGACATGTTGGTAGTGGTGGTGGTGGCTGTTAGTTGTGCGACTGTGATGCTGTGTTGCAGGAGGAGCAGACTGGAGGCTTTTAAGTGGGAAGGTCAGCCGTGGGTTGAGTGGGAGGTGGAGCGGGAGGTGAAGGAGGAGGGCACGATTTGCCGCGCGGGACGAGGCTGCCATGTGTGGTGCGGAGATAGTCGTACCTTAATACCGGCGGGCGGTGTTGCAAATCACGGCGGGTGATGGAAGCGTCTAGTGAGGGCGAGCAAACGCGTCGGATAGGACTACAGCAGCGGTGGCAACGCGTGAAAAGACGATTGTGAAGGATCCAGGCGCAAGACTGAGGTGTGAGCACCTCGGAAATAGTGGGGGTCTCGCTCACCAAGCTTTGGCCGTTTCTAGCCTCCGGCCTCACCTTGCCCATCTACCTTATCCGCAAAACTAGGGTCGCCTGACTTTGTCCTTTACATAATCGCCTCCTGCCTCGTAATTGCCGTCTCCCAGTACATCAGGCTTGACAGTTTGGTGGTCCTTTGGGGCAGATTCACCATGGTATGGTTATGATGTCACGATGAAAGCACTGGGTTGGAAGAGTCGCACTGACAAAACCACAGGGAGAAATGGAAAGGGATTTGCAGACAGACCCTCCTTGTCATCCACGGGCATGTGCAATTCAAAGTATGTCATGCAGCAAATGTGGTGCGTTTGTGAAGCTAAGTGGTAGATTGCATACAAAAGAACAACTACAACGAAGAAAAGTGCAGAAAAGAGGTTGGTTCGCCTTAGCCGAAGCAACAACAGTACAGTAACCTGCAGAACAAGGGTTGACAAGCCTCAGGTGGACGCATTGTATGAATGCTGCAATGCCTTTTACGAAAGACAGGGCGAGAATGCAAGCACCGTGAGCTGTCCGAAATACTCGCTTTTGAAGTATGGCTTAAGTTTGACGGCATGTCGCTGCTAGGCTAACAGAATGAATGCAGGCTCAAGATGCAACAACGCGCCAAAGGCATCTCATAGCATGCAGTCTTAATCGCCGCCGGATATGGCTTTGTATGATTAGTTCCCTCAATAAGAACCACAGCCAGTCGTCCCTGGGAAAAGGGCATGTAACACTTTCTTTCTTGTCCGCACCATCAAACTTCCGAAAAAGTCCAGGCGGTTTTACCAGGAAGTGTGTTTCTCTAACATGGCATGAGCGCGTCGTAGAACACTGACAAATTTCCGACGAGACTCTATAGTAGCACATGTATAGGTTATAAACATTGTAAAGAAAAGAAGAGCAGCGGAGCGCATCGCCGACGAGGTTTTTGTACTTTTGCATTAGCGCGCGCCGTCCTTGGCAACACGCTAACCCGCCAGGCACGTCCGGGCGCGACTTCTGTTTTGTGACGGGCTTAGGACGCTCAACCACGGCCATCCCAGGCCCTCAGCAACCCATTGACAAGTCTCTGACTACCCCGGCCTAGAGTCGCCCCATCTCCTTGTCGTCTGCCGTCTCCTACACTCCCTTCCTCTACCCCCAACATGGCGTTACGACCCTTCTCGCGCCAGTCGCAGTCGACTGCAGCACAGGTAAGTCATCAAAGAGCTTCCAGCCTCGCCCGCGACGACACACATGGATATATCCGATGGTGGCTGACACTGCATTCAGTCACCGAATAGTAATGCGCTTTTGTTTGGCGCTTCCCGACCAACAAATGGCACCACCTCAAACGACCCGCTCCAACCACTGCGCGCAATGGCCGACCGCGTGGGCAAGGAGGTCGAGAAGTTTGCAGAGCGAGTCGACCACTGGCACACGCACGGAAACGACTCCAAGAGGGCCAAATATCACACCACGGTCAAGTTGGTGGGCAAATTCCAGGATGTCGCAGAATCTCATGTCAAGGAGCTGAAGCGAACAACCGAAGCAGAGAACAAGGGCAGTCTAAGCAAAACTATCCGGCGGCAGATACAGAGCATGGCAGATGCGTCGGAGAATGCGCCTCAGAGTCTCTTCGCTCAGTCATCCCAATCCATCAATTCGTCGATTGAGAACAACACCGCCCCTGTTTCCGCGAACGTCCAGGAGCTTCGAGAATGGCAGGCCGAGCTTGCGACATGGAAACTACTCAAGCTTGTCATTGAACACTACCACCCTGATCCCGATACCGATGTAGCTGCAGAAAAGAAGGCGCGTTTGGAGACTGCTGGAGGCACTGCACGGTACTGCAAGAATAGCGAGATTTGGGACCGGTTCATACTGGAGGATGACCAGGCGAAAGAGAAGGCTCTTGTCCTTCGTTGGTTAGAGCAGACTGCACGAGACAGCGAAAGCGACGTCAAGGCCATCACCGCAGCACTCGAGGAGCATTCGGGCAAGGGCGCGCATACATGGACAAGTGGCTGGCTTGACACCAAGGCGAAGATTAAGCAGGCGAAGCGTATGGAGGGTGCCGAACAGCCATTAAAGCCCGGCAGCACAAACATCCAGACCTCGGACAAGACCGCGAACCTTGTAACACAGCTCGACCCAGATGCTCCCTCCAGGCAGAAACGTGCGCTTGAAAAGAACGACGAGTACTACGAGCGTTCCCTTTGGATGGTTGCATACGAGATGATGCGCCGTGGACTGCCGTGGACAACCATTGTTGACTGGTGCTACGAACGAAACGAATCCTGGCGCGGAGTCAGCATTGGAGCAGCATATGAGAGTCATCCTGAAGGTGGTCCTAATGTTGCCGGGCCAACTGTTGGCTATCTGTTCCGCCGCATGTGTTTCTATGCTGCGAGGGGGGCACGGATACCTTACGAGGGCGCAGTATACGGCCTGTTGAGTGGAGACTTGAAGCAAGTGCAAGCAGTCTGTCGATCTTGGGACGACCATCTTTATGCCCATTACAACGCCCTCCTTCTTTCCCGGTTCGATATGTACCTCCAAAAGAACTATCCTACCAAGGTGACTGAGAGCCTAACCCAGAAGTTCCTGTTCCAGGATGCTGTAGCCAACATTGGAGATTGGGAGGCTTCGCCTGAGAAGGTCATTGGCATATTAAAGCAACAGAGGAGTACTGCTAGCCAAGCTATATCACCGATTAAGCTCATTCAAGGCGCGCTTATCGGCAGAGATGCTGACGACCTGATGCTGAAAGTTGGCATGGCCTTAGCGGATATGTTTGCTCAAGACAAACGACCTCACAGCCTTATCATACACCCAGATTCGCCAGAGGAAGACCGATCGCCTATACCAGCAGGAGAGTACCGGACCTTTGAAGCAGAGCGATACTACCAGAACCTTGTCAAAGATCCCCACGCTTTTCGAATCTTGGTGCACATCTTCATTGTCCTCCGTAATGGACTTCATACGCTCTTTGACGATACACAACAAGACAAACAGTTCCTAACCATGGACAATGTCATCGCTGCCTACATTGAGTTCCTGCGCCTTACTCACCGTTTTGATGCCATCCCGCTTTACGCGGCGCAGCTGATCGAAGAGCGTGCGGCATATACCCTAGCACGCGTCCTTCCCGACATCAAGAACAGCACTGAGCAACGGCACTGCGTTGCGCTGATGGAATCATATCGACTCGATGTTATCCAGGTCGTGTCTCAGAGCTTTACGTTTGCTGCACGGGATAGTGGATTCACCCACTTCAACAGTGCGGGCATTACTGTCATCACAAACCCCATCAAGCGTTTCAAAATCTTGGAGCAGGTCAGCGTACCTCATGAGCAAGTCCTGTGGCCTGGTGTACGTATAAAGCGGTCATTCGATGGCGAGCAAATCAGCGAGCAAGATGAGATTATTGTTGATGCCTTGCAATGGTACAACTATATTGGCAGAGATTACGAACACACATTTGAGCACCTCAACAATGCGCTGACCATCTTCCTTCGTAAGTACTGTCTACAAGCTTTGATGTCGCTCGTTAGCTAACATCTACTCTAGTCAACGGTCGCTTAGCTGCTGCCGAGAAGGTCATTAATGATCTCAGCGTCGAGTCTCTCTCGCTGTCACGTACAGAAGCCCTTACTGGCTATCCTTTCGATTTGATGACTCCTGGAGCAGAAGAACAAGATGAGCGTCAACTCCATGAGCATCGGGACAGTCTCTCAGCCGCCGCACGAGCTTCTGCGATTCCTATTTCACAACTGCCTGATGCCAACCAGCACAGGGAATTGGTGATGCAATTGCGCCAAGCCAGCTTGCCATACTACAACCTCCAGCAAATCGTTCGCCTACTCATCCTTTTCCGCGAATGGCGCGAGGAGGAGCAAGCACTCATACAGTCAGTCTCCGCTCTTTATGTACCTGATTTTATACCAGCTAACAAACAATTCAGGATCCGTGCCGACCGTCAGAAAGAGACCACCGGTGCGAAGGCAAAACCAGACACTCAACATACGAAGGCTCTTCTGGACTCCATTTCCACCATCTTTGACACACTCCTACCCTCGATCTCTCTCTATTCCACCGCCGACTCTCACTACTTGACAGAGCAAACGTGGGATCTCCTCAAAGCCTACATTCCCGACATCATTCTTGCCTATCTCTCCGTTCTCCAGTCTGCATCGTGGTTCTTGAACAAGGACCCCGCTATCAAGGCCATGGAGGTTGCTGTTGTCATAGCTGATAAGAGTAACGAGTGGCTGCAACGCTGTCTACTAGAGACTGGCAGGATGAGTGAGGTATTGGAGTGTTTGGCTGGCGTATCCAAGTGCATGTTGAAGCTCACCGAGGGTGGCAAGGAGAAGGGCAACAAGAAGCGAGGAGGCAAGGGAGAGACGCTGAGAATATGGGATTTGGGTGCTAGATAGCGCGCGTGCAGAGAAATGGAGAGAAAATGACTACTGCATGTGTAATATACTTTTTTTTCTTCTGGTTTTGCGCTAGCTATAGTCTGCATGAAGAGCACATCTATAGAAGCACTAACTATATGATATCGTAACGCGGCTAATTGTATTCAAACGTTACATAACGTAAATGTTCAGGTATGAAAAATACTCACTAGGGAGATTCCTGCCAAATTGTATTATTGAATCGTAAACAAATGAAAGAGATTGTTGCAAATCCTACAGGAGTAAGAAATGTTTATGAAAGAATAGAAAGAGAGCGATATGTACCTTGTACACCCCATACATTCCCTTGTCGTATTTATGACGACTATTGACACCTAGTGGAATGCTCTCAGTAACTGTTCAGTAGCAATGCCCAAACCACCGAATCCCAGCACAGTCCACAGCCACTTATTCTTCAGCTCATCGACACTAGGCCAAAACGCGTTCTTCTCCGCGCGGAACTTTTCCAATTCACGAAGTTTTTCCGGAGACGAAGCAGAGTATCTGCGTTGTTGGTGCTGCTCCTTTTGCGCATCGCCGCCGAAGAAGCGGAGGAAGGCGTAGTTTGCTGCGGGGCCTAGGAGTTCGATGGGTGCGAGCATATCGGAGCCGTATAGCATAACGATGAAGGAGATGTGGACTAGTGCGTCACCGAGGTAACTGGAATAAGATTAGAAAGGGTTAAAACGTACATGGGGGATCAGAAATAACATACTTGGGGTTACGGACAATGCTCCAGACACCTTCACGCAGAATTCCCTTGTTGCCCTCGGCCTTGTACTGGTCAAGCTGGTAGTCTGCAATGCTTTCAAGTGCCAACCCAGACGAAAACAAGCCAACAGCCAGCATCTGAACAAGCGGATGATAACCCGTCATGACCGCGCCTTCATGACGAAAAGGGGCAGTAAACGGCAAACTGATGAGCATCTGAAAGAACGCCTCGGGAATAAACACCTTGAAAAGCGCAGCATTCCAGAACCCGTCCTCCTGTTTCACCTCAACATACCGCGGATCGTCTTCGCCCCGCTGGATAGACCGCCTCGCAATACGGTAAAAGAGGCGTCCACCCCATAGCGTGACTCCAGTGAGCATAACCCGCTCATGCCATGACAACCGACTAAAAGCCTGCGAGACAGTGTACCCAGCAGCTATACGCCGGCCGACAGCCGACCACCATGCATTGACAACCTGTCCACTAGGCCACAGCCAATCCTTTGCCTCAACCCGATCCGTATACCGCGCAGCTCCATACGCCAGCACCGCCAAACCCGCATGCAGCGAGAAAGAAGGAACAAGCGTATCTTTCAGGATCCCGACATCGAAGAGCGACGCACTATACACGTGTGTCTTGGAGTGCGTTCTATCGATCGCAATCTTGGGTAGATTGGAAGAATTCGTCGCGGGACTCAGTCCGGAGCTGGGCTGCAGGTAGAAATCGTGGGGGCGTTGGTCGGCGACTTGGATGCGGACGTCGGGCGGGTCTGAAAGTGCCTCTTTTGAGGAGGCGCTGCTACTGAACCAGCTGGACGCCATTGTTTGGGGGAGGGGGGAATGAGACTTGGAGCAAGTTTCAGTGTGCTACCATGCAGATTTGTCGCGGGCGAGCATGCGGTTATATCATCGCTTTTCTGGATGAAGCGTTTCCCCGCATTTGCGATGGAGGCGGGTGCGCGGCATGATGCTTCTTATTCGTCCGGGTGCTGATGGAATGGCTTTGGTTGCATCCATTGCGTAGGTGCTATGATCCAATCATGCAGTGGCTTGTGTATGGACAAGTTCTGGTATTCATTGGGTCTGTGGATCGGTTTGCGTTGAGGTGATGTCGCGTGAAGGTTGGTGGTGATGTCACTATTGGTCCAAGCTGAAAGGCGGGGCGGTGATGTATCCATGTACCATATATAGCCTATGTGCTTGGGTACTGTATAGGTGGTGTGTACAGTTTCACCACTGGCTTGTGATAGGCAACAATGGTACTGTATAATGGCTTCATTACGATTGGCGAAAATGTATCCAAGGCCGCTATTGCTTTCACGACTGCCACGACAGATTTGGCTTTACCTCACTTTGCCAGTATGGTAACAACGAAATAACCACCCTTTTATGTTCTAAAACCTTTGGCAACCACCACAAATTCAATTTCGCCATGTTATCACAAATACGCACCAACGTCATGTCATGGTGGCAATAGACACCTTTACCAACAACTACTGCAGCGCCTAGCTTCCAAAAGTGGCACATCTTTGATCAAGACCGATGGATGCCATTTTTTACTGAGATAACTTGTCAGCCTGGTATCCGACACCAATGGAAGGGTTCATTCCGCCTCGTGAGTTGGAACGTAAATGCGGATGCGCCATTACCAAGATCTCGCATGTCCGCACTGCTGGAAGTTATCAAAACTACCGGAGCAGCAAAGGTTATTTTCCTACAAGAAGTATCAAAGAAAGCGCTTACAGAACTACTCGAAGATCCCTGGATCCAGCGAAATTGGTACACAAGCAATGTCGATCACTCCGCTTTTAGGATTCAAAAGTTCATCAGTGTCACCCTAGTTTCCAGGGGCTGGGTAGCCACACATGGTATTCTGCTAGGCGCCCTCTGGAGGATTTCACTACCAAGTCGTTTCATACGAGACGCTCTGTGCTGCGACATGATCTTTAACTCTTCAACCAACAACACCTCTGGTAGAGGTTCCACCCGTATCCGACTTATCAACGTCCACTTGGATTCCTTGCCAATTAATCCGTCACTCAGGCCATATCAACTTTCCATTTGCTCATCGTACCTGAGTACAGCTGGCCGCGGCATCGTCGCCGGCGACTTCAGTCCTGTTCTCCCAGAAGATGATGACCTTGTGCGTACCTACGATCTTACCGATGCATGGACATGCCTTCATCCAAACGACGCAGGTCACACTTGGGGTGTATACGGTGAACATGTCTTCCCACCAAACCGGTTCGACAAGGTTGCTCTTTTCAATCTTACCCCTTCAGCCATGCACATCCTGCAAACAAGTGAAGTGGAAATTTATGGCGAGAAAATGTCAGTTGGTGGAATAGAACTGATTGAAAAGGTGCATTTTAGCGACCGTTTTGGTGTTTCGTGCGAGGTTAGATGGGATGAAGATCGAGCACAGTCAGAATGATGTGTGCTTGAAGATTGAGTAAGTAAAAGGACATAGTATGCGGCTTGTATCGAGGCGGGCAGAGGATGTGAAATTTCCTTGAGACATTTGGTAAAGGTTGCGATACCTGAAGTCAATGGCAACTGTCTCATAGAGATAGTTAGGTTGTTAATGTCCAATACTCATAAGTTAAAGCATAGTCTGCGTTACCTTTTCAAAGAACAATCAGACGATACGCTGGACGCGGAACAGGTAGATATCAACCTATCAAGTAAGTATTGATTGATGACGTCAGGTGGAAGCGAACGTACCCCTCATGCCGAGGCATGGCTTCATAGCAAGACTCGCAGTAGGGAGTAACTACCAGTCCACGCATTCATGCCATCACATAAATGACAATCTCATCATGGCGTCCAACAAGCCCAATGCATTCAATCCACCTTCTGTGGTAGAGCCACCACCTACCTACTCTCAAGTTTGCGTCACTCCCATAGTAGCTTCATCTGCTTTGGTCACGCTCGCCGGCCAAACAGGCCTACAAAAAGATGGCACAGTGCCTTCTGGTATCAAGGCACAAGCAAAAGCTGCCTATGAAAGCATTCACAAGTGCTTAGAAGCTGCTGGTGCAACACCACGAGACATTGTACGCCCTCCGAGACCTTGACGCAACTTGGGGAGCATGAAGTTACTGTACAGGGGAATTCATGGGCACATTGCTGACCATATTTTCAATTCTAGGTTTTCGTCCGGCACTATATTGTTAAAGAAACGGGCGACAAAGAGCAAGATGCAAAGGACGTTGTGGAGCGAGGCTGGGGCGAGGAATGGATGGAATTCATGGATAAAAATGCAGATGGACATCGGCCCCCGGATACAGTTGTTGGTGTTGCGAGTCTGGCGTTGGGGAAATTGTTGTATGAGTGTGAAGTCACGGCGATGACTAGCCGTTGAAACACTTCGATTCAAACCCCAATATCACGTAGTAGTATAACCGTTTTCTTGGCTATGACCAAGCGAGTAGTTAATCACACTTGCTAATGAAATCTGGGGGTATTTTGTGACAGATAAGAGACAGAAGACGTGGCATGCAATCGAGGATATCGTGGAGTATCTACAAGGATGATGATCCGTCCCTTGAACGCAAGACGCGGCTAGCAGTCGGTTGCCGTGAGGGGAAACTCGGGTCGGCAGTACCTTCCCGTTCGAGAATGGAATGCTCCTTATCGCTATTGGCTACAAGCAGCATAGAGGCACAGTACATAGATACACCACAGCTCTACATGACGTTCTTTGCTTCGCACCAATTCCCCTAACAGCATCTTGTTTCCACCATGGCGCTTGTATCATTGCTATCCATCGCGCCGTTTCTCACCGTAGCGTACACCCGGGAAATCACTTTTCCCCCCGTCTCAGGATATGCATCTCAGCAGGTTATTCCTCAGGAACTATTCGAATCTGATGTCACTCAAGCAAAGTTTGCAGGGCTAACGACATATGCTCACCTGCCATATGTGCATTGTCTCGCGCCTGAAGGAGACGATGTTGAGCCGTTTGACATTGCTATCCTTGGTGCGCCATTCGACACTGTAAGTCGCGTATTGTCAAGAGTGCAAATATTATATACGAAAAAGGTGTGAATGAGGTGGATGCTGATGGCTGGTAGGCTGTAACCGCTCGTCCGGGAGCGCGCTTTGGCCCGAGTGGCATTCGAGCTGGATCACGTCGGATAGGTCCCTTGTGGAGCGTTTATACTGGTAAGTGGAGATGCCGTGAAAGCTTTTTGGTGAAACAGTTGTTTCCTAGAGCGTGGGATTCGGACGTAAGAGCTATTATCTGTGAAAGTGGCGCACGTAACAAGGCCACCGCGAGTAACAGTCGCAATGGATCGTGCTCGAATCAGCAGCACTCGTGTAACATTTGGCTGTTGAAAACCGCCATCTCAGCGTCGCCTTGTTTTCCCTTCTTAATTTTTTTTTGAACCCATTTACATTCTGGAAATGGATTGAGATTAACTCCAAACAGGAGAAAACGTCTTCTTCGACTGGGCCAAAATAGTCGACTGCGGTGACGCTCCATTGACTTTCTTGGTAATGCTACCCGTGTACAACACCAAACACAAGATTGACTCAGAAATAAAACAGGACAACACAGTAGCTCTGAAGCAGCTTGATAAATCCCACGAGGTTCGTAGCCTAACTCTAATTCTAGTCGAGACTTTGACTAACTGTTGGCTTCAAGATCGTCTCTTCCAGAAAGACCAACTCAAGCGAGCATGGGCGTACACCGAAGATTATTACCCTAGGAGGCGATCATACTACCACACTGCCTGCGCTACGATCAGCCCATCACCACTGGGGTCAAGTCAGTGTGATACATTTCGACAGCCATTTAGGTACGTCAGACCAGTCTTTGTAGCTGGTTTCCGCTGACCGTTTGACAGACACTTGGGATCCAAAGGTGTTGGGTAAGCTTGATATTCTTTGTGTGCAATGACTTGCTAATGTATGATAGGCGGAGGCATATCCCACTACGCGTAAGTCTAGCTCCAACCCTGTTTCCGTGCACGACTCACTAAAGACGAACATCACAGTGGCGTCAACCACGGAACGTTTCTGCACATCGCACACGAGGAAGGCTTAATCCGGAATACATCGATCCACGCTGGCATCCGAGGAGCAATTTTACGACCAAAAGGTGATGTGCGGAATGACATTCGCTGTGGGTTTGAGATGATCAAGGCCCGGGATATTGATCGCATTGGTGTATTGGGAATTATTGACAAGTTGAAGGCACGAGTGGGGGGTAGCAAGGTGTACATCAGTGTTGATATAGATGTGCTGGACCCGGCCTTTGCTCCTGGTGAGTTCTGACCTGATATCACTGCGCGGTACGACACTTGCATTGTTACAATGTCAGAATAGGTCGTGGCCAGCAACTGAACGTTGAACAGTGTGACTGACGTACACTACAGCCACGGGAACTGCCGAGGTTGGTGGCTGGAGCACACGCGAGTTACTCTCTATCTTGGATGGTCTTGAAGGACTGGATGTAATCGGCGCTGATGTTGGTATGTACCCTGTTGTATTCATGATCCCCGCTGTTCAAAACGACTAAATTCTAACCACCTTGGTCTTTTAGTTGAAGTTGCTCCTGTATACGACAATGCCGGCGAGACAACAATATTGGCAGCTGCAGAGGTTGTACAATCCCTTATTGGGCTGATGGTGAAAGCGCCAGCTTGAAAGATAGGAGCATGATAGTTTGTGTGGGAGCTGTGTAAAATTTTGTGTGATGTGATATCAAATTATGATGTAATCAAGTACAAACATGGATGTTGAGAGACCAAGCTTTGAAGCCAGAGATACTTTGAACAAGTATGTATAATTCTGAGATATCCAAAGTGTAGATAGAAGACCTTCTCTGCTGCATAACATGTGTGAATCGATATTGAGAAAACGAACCTTTTCTACAGATTCGCGTTTTCCGCCTGTAGTCGTCCCACAATATTGTACCGCTTGCTGAAAAACGTGTGCCAGTCATTCAAAACTCCCAGCTCTTTCTCAGACAACCCGGAGTAGTCGGATATACAATCCTCTGGCTTGAGAGAAGACAGGCCAAGAGCACGGTTGGGCTCCTTGCCCGCAAAGACTGGGATCAGTTGTCAGCTATACAAGGTAATGAAAGATGATTTCTGGGTTAACAGACCATGGTAGCCCTTTCCAGGCGCATATGTCTCCTTGCCGCTCACATCGAAGACATCGCCCTAGATCACTGTTAGCTTGGCTGCACGTGCTTCGGGATAACATCTCGATGATGGGTTCAATAATTTACCTTGATAGCAACCAATGTCGGGTATCCTTCGTTTGTACCTAGACTTATTGTTAGTTATCCCGATATTCCTTTAAAAAAAGAAGCCAGACGGAAGTCATTTGGAGAGCAGCCTACCATCGCACTTTGCCAGATAATCCCGCTCGATGATGTCATCTTTGGGAGGGTTCAGCGTAACAGGCTCCTTTGGAGCAAACTTCTCCTTCTTAGGTTCAGCGGTGTCGGACATGATGGGGCGATTCAAAGGTCAGTGCAGGTGTGGGAATAGCGAGGAAGTGACCCAGGGACCTTCAAGTCGCGATGCTGGCCGAGGCGTGTGAAGTGGGGTGGCACGCCAAACCGTTCTAGGTTAGTGTTGTTGCGACTTCATTGCACCACTTTTTGCTCGGCTTCCTATTTGTCGTTGCAGTTGTGAGGCTGGTTTCCAGACTGATTCTCGGGCATTCGCCATCTGTTTTTCTGCTAGTGAAGCGGGCTGTGTTGTTCATTATTCGATCTACTACAATGATCGTACCTTTACCTAATATCGAGCCGTATGTACATGCAAAATAAATCCTATACAATGAATCCCAGCCTCCAAAGTCGTAACCCAGTCATTCGCCGAAAGCCATGGCTATGCGCCCATGTTATATCGCTAGGACAGAATACTAACATCATCCAATCGGACGAAGAAACATTAAAGTCTGTTACAGAATCCCCATAAAACCTCCCAGAAAATACACGACTGTGTTAAAACAGGGCCTCACTTTCTGCTGCTAACGCCATACGTCGACTGAGCGTCACATGTCATCTGGAGATATATTTGCTGCCTTACGCAGTCTTTGCAAAGTTCTTGAGGCTCATCCCATTCACGTTTGACGCTCCATGCGCCAAAGCATTGGTGGCCGGGGTCATTTCGTGCAAAATGGCAATGCTTCGCAACTCGGTACTCAAAGTGTTTGCAGAAGAAGGTGATTTTGTTGTAAGAGCACATTTTTTTATGTTGATTGACAATCGGAGCTTGGAAAGGGGAACGAGAGCTATACCTCTGATTAGCTGCTATGTGGTGATGAGCTGAAGCTACTTACGTGCGAGATGCTTCTGCGGTACAGTAAGTACAAAGACGATAGAGACACGTGGTCTTGCTGTATTCGTGACAGGTAGCTAGGGTACCGAGTCTGAGCAAGATGCGGATAATGCGGGGAAATGTGAGCATCGTACTTCTGGCGCCATTTGCAACTCTTTATATGCACTGGTCTGCATCAATGCACTCGCCTGGTACATTTGGCTGTGTGAACCAAGAAATGGAGTCGAAATTGAGCAGCAGGGAACTGCAGCAGTGGGGCCAGGTTGTAAGCCCCCCTAGCCCAATCGCCGATAGACATCATGAAGGTAGTAGATTGCTTGTCTGATGTCTTTCTGATCCCGTTAGATCCTTGGAGTTCACAACGCTGACATACTGGCTCACTGTTGAATATCTTCAATTCCTGCACTTCTTAAGCCCTTCCAAGATACCTTTAACTTTTAGCTTGAGATAGTGACGAAAATTCCTGAAGCTGTAGTTGTGGGCCGCTGTGTTCTCTCACTTTACAACATTTGAGGAGCACGGTCCTTCTAGATGCATGATTGCACAAAGATAGCTCGTGGCCTATGACGAACGAAAACGGCAACCAGGCGACAAGAAATCGTTCCACAACCAAGGAACTTGGCATATTCTGCCGACAGCTGCGTATTAGATATGGAGGTAGATTCTTCTTGGCAGTACAGCAACTACTGTATTACTCACCTTGTGGCGTATCTAAGGGGCAAATCTTGGCCGCTTCACCACGAACCTTCATATTTTGATTCAGACCAAGTAATACTTCTAAGCTCTTCTGGAAGTTTCTCAAAAACAATCACTTAGTTCTTCTATATCGCAGATGACACAAGTCTCTAGACTACATCCACGCCCTTGTCCCTCTACCTAATAGTGTTACATACATTCGAGATCAAAACGAAATTTGTTACAAACTTTGTCTACTAGGCGGCTTACTGTTCCTTTGATGGAGCTATACTAAACATGTCCTGAGGGTGTGCAGTGACAGGCTAAGAGTGCTCAGTGCGTTGGTCCTACGCAACACGCTGTGGGGATCCCTGATGCATCACAGCTCTTTACGTACACCACAAACACTCAATAGATATTTCTGCATTAGTGCCTACCAGGTTGTAGTGAAAAGTCAACTCAAAAGGCTATTGAATGCATATCGCAATATTCCATCAGTTTAAGTAGATACACCAAGTACCTGGAAGTATACGTTTGCGCTGAGTATCACATGTTTACGGGGTACTTATAAGCTAACTGGAAGTGCAATGTCCAAAATCTGGTCATTAGCACTAACGGAAGATAAATAAAGCGTTCTAATGCCTCTTCACACGCAAAATTCCAACAATCCATCTGCATCCCCTTGGACGTAACTATGTTCCAAGTTGTTAACCCCGCTCTATCCTATACAGCACGCTCCAGATCCTCGAGGACCTAGCATTCGGCCATGTAATCGTCACACGAACTCGCACTCGACATCTTCAGAGCACCATCCACGCCCAAGTATGAATGCTTGATCTATCGACTCCCACTTGGGTACACTTGATCAGTCCCAAGCTCGTGCGCTAAGCCCACCCCACATCTGCATCCTGCACATAACGTGGAAATGCAAACTACACACATGCCAATGCGTACGTCAATATGATCCTCGAGGAATCTCAGCAAACAAGCCTCCATTTCCATAGAACTCTGTCGCGGCACACGGTACCTCACACTATCCTAAACTCCCTTCGTCAATATTGAGAAAGCTCCTCCCATCACACCCATTATCTCCCCTCAGACCCCCAAGCTCCCCACGATATCATTGGGGAATCGGTTAACCCTCCGCCTCCCACACTGTTTCACTTGCCATAAAAATCCCGTTTGGACAGTCACACACTCCATTCCCCATTCAACAGCGGCATCGTCGTGCCGCCCAAGCATCTTTACTTACACAGCAGAACGGTGGCGGGTACTGTAGCCCGCATGCGCCTGTGTGACGCGTATGCAGTGGAACAAGAACAGTTTTGGGTGAAAGCTTGCCGATTTCGGGAATAGAGAGGATAGAAGGCTAGGTTGGGAGGAGTGGCTTTATGGCATGTTGGGGTTGGGGGTAGGGGACTTGGATCTGGTAGGGCAGAGGTGGTCGAGGGAGATGATGGGGGATAAGTGTGGTACACATGTTGCATGTCTACATAGCAAAGTACTTACAACGAAAATCAAGGGCTCGGACTGAATTGCCTGCTGTGTGAGTTATGCTTACAGCCTCTAGTTTGCTTTTGAATGTTGATTTGTATCCCTGTTGTAGAGCTATCTTAACAGAACAATACTCCTTCAGAGAAGAAGTAGTCGATCATTTACATCTTGGTGATGTTTCCCGTGAGCAAGTCCACAAACAATCATACTCTGAGCTATCCAACACATCACTCCCTTTCATCAAGCCCGGTACTAGCAATATCAACTCCCACAGCCCGCACCAATCGATTCTAAACTCACCCCTAAGTCCCTGGATTAACATTGTATTCGAATCTTCTATTCTCACCAGTCCATGTGCCTCATAGCGTACATACAGATTCAAGCACGTTACACCGGTTCAGCCGTTATCAAGCTTTCCCTTCCTCTTCTTCTGCACATGTATGACAAAAGCCCGGGAGGATCCGCCTGAAAGCGTGCGACCAGCATGCGTGGCGTTTGCTTCGGGGAGGCGCTTGCGACCCGGGGAATACGGGAGCGTGTGCAGCGTTCGGGTGGGTGCTGCGGGTAGGGGAAGGAATGCTGAATCATTTTTTCAGCACTGGAAACGTGGGGAGAGGTGGGTGGAACATGGCTATGCGGTAGAGAGCTGGAGTTTTCTTTCTCAATTGATCAGTGATTTAGAATGTGAAAGAATTAAAAAAAAGAATGAACATGAATACGTAGATAATTCGGCATTTCTAAATATTGAAACCAGCGTAAAGAATAAACTTAGTAGGTGAATCAAGGCAAACAACCCTCCCCCTCCCCTCCCCCAACTTTCATTCCTGCCCCAACTACCATTCAGCAGCTGCGAGGCTCACGTACCCCCTCACCGAAATACCTTCTCCAACTCCACACGACCATCTCCAGAGACATGACGTTCCCATGCCCTCTTCCCCCCCTTCACGCAGATGTAGGTATACGGATGCGGACTGAGCACTTCACCGGCAAAACATGGGAGAATTTCGATATTGGGGAACTGGTACCGAAGCCCAGCAGATGGAAAGCATGGGATGAGATGCCGCGAGGCGCGGCGGCTAGGATCATGCATTACATACATGTGCATATGTACACCATATAGGGGGGGCCTGGACCGTGGGGGGATCATGGCGTGGGTAGTTCAAAGTGGGGATGCATATGTTGGAACCAATACCTAATTAGCATGTTTGTTTCATCACTTTACCATGGCCGCGGAAGCAGAACAGCGTTGTAATGTGTACAACGGATACCGGAGTTCTAGATAGCTATGACTTTTTCTCTATTCAACGTAAACGCCGCCGCTAATGCAATTGCAATCATGCTTTTATTTCTGGTTACAATTACGCCTTTCCTGACCTCTTGGCCTTGCGGGCTTGCCTCTTCTTTGCAATGATCCTGGTTCTCAGCGCGAGTTTCTCGTCACTGCCCTTGTTCTTAGCGGAAGCAGGACCCGCTTCCGCATCCGAACCCTGTTTCGATTTGTCGGTGGTCTTGCCCTTGCTCTTTTTGTCTCCGGCACTCGAGTCTCGCTTTCGCTTCTTGCCCTTTGTTCTGTCTGGCTGGGCTTCGTCCTCGTCAGCCTCACCACCTGTCTTCGGCTTGCGGGGCTCCCGGGACTTTTCCTCGCGGTCTGTACGTCTGTTGACGACATTCGCGTTCTCGATAGCGAACTCTACGATGAGACGCTTACGCTTGTCTTCCAGTGCTTCTTGTGCCTGCTTTTTGCTTTTTGGTGTAGGGTCCGCCTTGATCTTGTAATCCACGGCATGTCCATTCAGCCATCGTAATCCCATCAAAGCATTACGGTGAGTGTAGTACTCGATGAAACCATATCCTCTACTTCTTCCAGCCCCAGTTTCCTCCGGAACTTTGCTACCTGCAGGTGTCTCAAAGACGACCTTGGCTTGCTTGACGATACCTTTGCCCTTCTTCTTCCGCATCTTCTCCGCTACCAACATCTCCTGACCGCCACGAATGACTTCCTCCTTGCTAAGTTTTTGTCGCTTACCCGCCTTGACATCAGCAGCGAAGCCGACGACAGCACTACGGGCGAGCTGCTTAAGATCCTTTGAAGTGATGCTACGGGGGATATTGCGAACCGAGAGACGGGTGAGGGAGAGATGGAGCGAGGGATTTTCTTGAATTTGCTTACGGCGCATCGTCGCACTCTCCTCGCGCATCTTGATCTCAGAGGGCGAGAGTTTTTGATAAAGCGGCGAGTTGGAGCTGATGGTTCCTTCCGAGAGGAGGTAGAGACGGCGCTTGTCCTTGTCACGATTAAAGCGCGAAGCTGCACCCTCGGCTGTAAGACGACTAGCTTCGTTCTTGTCGACTGCGCGGGAGATTTGTAGAATGCGACCGTCTATGGTGTATCTTCCAGTGGGATCGGCATCCTCGTCTTCGAGCACTGAATGTGTAACGGTGATGGTGGAGCCGTCCGACTTGTTCAGATCCTTCTTTTGCAACTTAACACGTGGGACACCCTTCAAACAGTTGACCATGTCTTCCTCGGTGAAGAATGCAACGAATGCAGTGCCCTTTGGCCGTTCAGTGTCGCGGTCTACAACAACACGTGCATACCGTATGCCTCCAAATTGTTGAAAGTGTTCCTTCAAACGCTCATCATCTACAGTGAATGGTACATTGCGTACAAACACTGTGTAGTCCTCGCGCTTTGGTCGATTGTCTTGTTGATCTAGCTCAACACCACCTTCCTCGTCGTCCTCGGACATGTCTTCGTCGTCGATATCGCTGTTATCCGACTCGTCTTCGTCTTCCTCATCTTCGCTGTCCATCTCCGAGCCGTCCTCTTCGTCGTCCTCATCAGAACTGACTACGGAGCTTTCGGCATCTTCCATGTCTTCGTCTCCATCTGCTTTGGCGTCGCCTTCTTGTTCGGTTTTTTGCAGATTCAGCCAAGTGTCACGATCGACAGCCCAATCAACAGCGATAGGCCTGCCGCTGATTTCTTTGCCATTGAGCTCCTGCATTGCCTTCTCCGCATTCTTCTTTCCTCGTAGAGACACGAAGCCAAATCCTCTCAATTCACCATTAGGCTTCTTTGGTAGATTTGCAAAGTTGACCTTGCCGTAGCTTCTGAAGAGCTTCTCCAAATCCTCTGGTGTCTTGATGGTCCAAGGGAGGTTTCGTACGATGATTTTAGGTACTTGCGCTTCCTTGACCTGTTGCTCACGCTCTGCCTTGATCCTGTCGGCGGCCCTGGGTCGCTTCTCCTCGCCCTCACGCTGTCTAGCCTCGGCGAAATCGACCTTAATCTTCTTGCCTTTGATCTGTGTGTTGTTCAATTCCTCCTTTGCTCTTTGCGCGTCCTCAACATCGGCGAATGTGACGAAGCCATAGCCCTTGGACTCGCGCGTCTCTTTGTCCAACACAACAAGCGCATTCTTGATCGGGTAGGACTCGGAAAAGTACTCGGTCAGGTCTTCGCTGGTGACGTCGGGTGCGAGGCTGCGAACGAAGAGTTGTCTGCGCGCGACTTCCTTTGCCGCCGCTGCGGCATTGGTGGAGGGTTGGTCTGCGTCAGCGGTGGCGGTGACGGCCTCTGCGCCATCGAGCGAGAGGCGCTGGCGTTTTCTACGGGGAGCCATTGTAAAAGAGTGTGAGTTCAAAGTCTTCTTTGTTTGTACTTTTCATTCGCATTTTCCCAAGAAAAAAAAGTTCCAGTATCGCGACGCACAGACCTCGATCTACCATCTTGGCGAACGTAAAGTGGGGCTAGACCTTTTGTGCTGGAGACCGACTACATCTTCACGTGCCATCCACAGGACACCCATTTCTTCCAATTCTCGTTCGCCCCGTCTGACTTTGCTATCCTTCACCGATCAGATTTCAGATTTCCATCATGATCACGATGTGTCCTCGGACTGCGCCTCCTTGGCGGAATTCTGCATGCCCCCCACTCAATTTGCAAAACCTGTAGTGTTGTGTATTACCGTGTGCGTCCTAAAACGACATAGCCGCCTAAACCATCGCGATCTTGTAGTGTCATGCGCTTTCTCAAACGCCCATACTGGTTCTTGGCCACGGCAATTGACTACTCGAGACGCACAATGACGTATTGCGTCTTTGACTACAATCGGACACAGCGGGAGACGAAGATAGAGAAATAACGGCGCAACGTCTTGTAGCACCGAGATGATTGCGCAATCTGTTGCTTTGCCTTTTCAGCTGAAATCATCAGCGATGTTCCTGGCGATCTACCGCGATCGTGCCCTGAAACCCTCTCCAACAACCTACATTTTGACCATCTTTCGTAAGGCGCTCCATCGATATTGCACATCTCCGATCCGATCTCTTGTCAGCCTCCTCGGAATGAAGCCCACCATGTCTCACGTCTATTGGCAGCAGGCAGAACCGTTGGGCCCTTTGATCTACCGAATGTGCACCGGTACCCGTTAGCGTCTCGTACCCAACGTCTGCACAAACGCCATGGGTGTAACTCCTTTGACAATTAGACACTCAAACTATGTTGCTCGCGCAATCAGTCCTGCTTATCTGCATCGCTTAGCTATTACCACCCTCACCCTAGTCCTCTGGCGGCACAGCGGAGCCTGGTACCGTCCTTTGTAAGCCCACAATACACATACAAGAGGACAGCCGCCAAAAATAATGAGAGTCCTCCAGACTGCCATCTTTGAAGTGCCTGAATTGATACCAGACCATGTCGCAAAGAAGCCATGAAGCCAGTGAAAGCGAGGCGCTTTTGAATCCTCGTATTGCCATTGCTTCCTCTTCCTCCTTCTCCTCCTACTCCACGCTCGATAGCACAGATTCTCCTAGAACGCCACAAACAGAAAGAGGGCTTTCAGACGCAGACAAAGAAAAACTAGATGTTCTCAGTCGACTCAACGATCTGGAAAGATCGAATTCTTCGGCTGAAGAGCTGGGAGACACTGGCATCTCACTCTATGAGAAGAAGTGTGAATTGGTCAATAATGAGATTGATCTCATGGGTATGGGGCGTTACCAGTGGTCAATATGGGCCTTGTGTGGCTTCGGGTACATGATTGATCTCATGTGGGCACAAGCCTTTGGTCTAGTTTTGTCTCCAATACAGCAGGAGTTTGGGTTTGGAGCTGACGAGACTGGCAAACTCTCCACCGCCTTCTCGGTTGGGCTTACATCCGGTGCCTTCGTCTGGGGTGTTCTAGTAGATGTGATTGGGCGGAAGTCTTCTTTCAACCTGACCGTCTTCGTTGCTTGTATTTTTGGTACTTGCATCGGCGCCCCTAGCACCTACAATGCCATATTGGTCCTGACGGCTCTTACTGGGTTCGGCATCGGAGGCAACATTCCTATCGACACGACCATTACACTGGAAGCCACTCCACAGAACAAGCGTTACCTTCTTCCTCTTCTCTCCATGTTCCAGCCGATTGGCGTCGTTATATGTTCAGTCTTGGCCTATGGGTACATTCCAAACTGGTCCTGCAGTCCAAACTTCTCAGAAGGAGACTGTGCACTCCCTGCTTGTACGGCTGTTGAGCTGGGCGAAGCGTGTTGCTTGAAAAAGGATAACATGGGATGGCGATATCTTCTATTCACACTAGGCGGAGTTACGATCTTAGTGTTCGTTCTACGGTCAGTCCTCTTCGACTTCCAAGAGTCGCCCAAGTTCCTCATCTACCGCGGCAAAGACGCCGAGGCCGTCAGTGTGCTACACAAGATAGCTGAGTACAACCACACTAAATGCACTCTAACCCTGGGAGACCTTGAGGTCCTGGAGCATGCGTTTGAATCCAACCGAGGCACTGCACCTATACTTGGAGGTGGCGTTAAGCAACTCAAATCTACGTGGACTGAGAAGCTTAAGTTGGAAGGCGATCGCTTCAAGATCCTCTTCTCAAGCTTCCAGATGACAAGGTTGACCTTGCTCGTTTGGCTGACATATATCTGTGATTACTGGGGGTTTACTGTTGCCGGTATGTAACTGCAACGCAGCCATCTGTACTCAGACATACGTCGCTAACTTCGCCTCAGGAACCTACCTCCCGCAAATTCTGGCCGTGAAGAATGGCGCTCTGGACTTGTCCCTTCGCTATACGTACCGATCGTACATATTCATCTACCTTCCTGGAGTATTCGGAGTAGTACTGGGGACGCTGTCTTACCGTGCATCGCGAGTAGGCCGCAAGTGGACAATGGTAGTCTCCTCAGCCCTCATGGGCATCTCCATCTTTCTCTTCAGTAGCGTCAACTCGGCGGCGTCCAACATAGGCTTCAACATCATGGAATACTTCTTCCAGTCCATGTTCAACTCTGTGCTGTACGGATGGACACCGGAAGCTTTCCCAGCGCCCATCCGGGGCACTGCATGTGGAATTGCAAGCTTCTGGGGCAGGCTTTTCGGTATCGTTAGTCCGCTGATTGCACAGCACTTGTATGCTGGTGGAGGAGCAGGGAGGGATATTAACAGTGTACTGTATCTGGCTGGGGGTGTGACATTGGGCTGTGTCATTACCACCGCATTGCTGCCCAGTAATCTTGTAGGGAGGCAAAGCTTGTAGGGACAAAGTATGGAATTGGGATGAGAAGCTTACAAGGGCAACGTAGCAACCTTTTATGAATGCTGTGGCCGAGTCAGATTGTTAGAGATACTCACTACGCCATAGAGCAAATGTTCTTACTCGAGCACAAACACGGAGCCTACATAGTGCCATAGAAAGTTTACAGGCCAATAATAATATCGTCGAGTCGGGTTTAACCAGCTTGTTGCATGTGTGAAGCATTGCTCTTCTTCAGAAAGAACCCTAATCAGTCGCTCAATACACCACAACGCCGTCCAAATGCATTCAGTTTGGTCGTATCTACCATTACAACTTTGTCCTTCCCGGTGCCTCTGCTCTTCCCTGCTCCATGATGTACCCGCTTGCCACCGGATTACAACCTTGACTCGCAACTTGTGGTAGAGGAAATGGGGGCTTCTTCAGATTCTGAGTGAAGAAGACTGGGTGCCGTACGGCGCTGTCGTACACGGGCGTGAAGAAAGATGCGGGTGTTTGCGGAGGGCCAAAAGGCGGCATGGCTTCGACTTGGGAACGCGGTTTTGGAGGGTTCAGAGGGAGGCTGGGGGGCTGCGATATAATTTGCTGCAAGGAGTGGGTAGCACGCCGTTGTTGCGCGTACGCTGGCTGTGAGGACTGCTGTGGAGGCTATGTCGTGTGAGTTGATAGAAGGAAGAATAACTTGTCCTGACTTGGACAGGGCAACTCACCTTTGGTCTAGACGGCTGCAAGCTAGGAAGCATCGTTGCAGGCTCGTAGACACACAACACCCAATAAGGCGACGGCGATGAATGGCTTCTGCAGCGAAACGTGACCGCAACTTACTTACTGCGTACCTCGGCATAAGATTGTCGCGAACGTCATCCCAACCTCAGTCGCGGAATCGGACGCTTCTCCGCTACCACCGCACGCCGAACATCACTCCACGCCAAAGCATCAAAACATGACGAGTCCACCACCACCAACACTGATTTCGACATGCAAAGGACGCCAGCACTATTTCTGGCGGCAACAAAATGTGCGAGATTCCAAGCTTCACGGAAATTGTACTCAGACCCGCCCATTGTGAAGATTAACAACGGCACCTTTTACCGTCACCACCCTTCTTCGAAATTCAATCATGGAAACGCAAATGCGAATCCGGCTCTATTTCCCAGTCTAAAAATCTCCCTGCCTTCCTCTTCAACACCAAACCAGCATTGGGCCATCCTAAGCCCATCATCAGATATCCGAACAGCATTCTTGCAAATCCTTCGCGGCCAATTCCTCTGTTTCCCACCTACAGCACGCTCATTCCCTTACCTTCTCAGCCCAGCTATCACAGAAGGTAAACCACATCTCCGCTTCCCCGAGCGCGCAATCGAATATGTCGGCTTCGACGTTGAGCGCAAAGCTTTCGGCGGCGCGTACCTATCCGCGCGATACGAGTCGCTAAAGGAAGAAACGGATTTCACTGTCCAGCGCTATCTAACGGGAATCGTGACGATGAATCCAGGTGAAGAAGAACTCAAGGCTAAGAGTATCCGAGCTGAGGATATGGAGAGAGTGATGCGGGATTTGGAGCTGGAAAGGTTCATTGAGAAGCCTGTCAGTATGCTGAGTAATGGGCAGTCAAGGAGAGCGAGGATTGCAAAGGCGTTGCTGAGTGGGCCTGAAATGCTATGTTTGGATGCGCCGTTTAGTAAGTTTAGCTGCTTAGTAGAGTTTGTAAGAGAATCAGCTAATGAGAGGATGAAGTTGGTTTGGATCCAATTGTCACGAAGCATATTTCTGAGGTTTTACATCGCTTAGCTGAAGCAAATGCTCCTCGCATTGTGCTCAGTCTGAGGCCTCAGGATGAGATTCCAGAGTGGGTTACGCATCTTGTGTATGCGGGGGAGGATGGAGTAGTAGGACAGTTGGGGCCTAAAGAAGAAGTCCTGAGATTTTTGAAAGAGGAGTATCAATTTGTTCAAGAGACCGGGACTACCAAGACAAAAGGCTCGAATGCAAAGGAAGTCCACGAAGTGGGCCGCCTTCTATCTGAAAGAGACCCGAAGATCCCAGCAGATACGCTACCAGTCCTAAGTCGCGACGGCTATGAAAAAACCGACAAATCCACCCCATCTTCCGGCGAACCCCTTGTCGAAATGAACGGCGTCCGCATCTCCTATGGTGCAAACTCCGTTCTGGGAGACTGGCATCAACCCACCTCCTCCAGCACCCCTGGCCTCCACTGGACCGTCAACCGCGGATCCCGCTGGGGCATCTTCGGCGCCAACGGCTCCGGCAAAACCACCTTGCTCAGCCTCGTAACATCTGATCACCCACAAACCTACTCCGCCCCGATCAAACTCTTCCAGCGCTCGCGCCTCCCCTCACCAGGCACCCCAGGCATCTCGATCTTCGAGATACAAGCGCGGATGGGACATGCGAGTCCAGAAGTTCATGCGCTGTTTCCCAAGCGCCTGAGTGTGAGGGAAGCACTCGAGAGTGCGTGGAGTGAGACACCGATTTCGCGGCCAAAGTTCGACGAAGGGGCGGAGAGCAAAGTAGAGGCGGCTTTGAAGTGGTTTGAGCGGGAGATACGACCGAGTTTCCAGAAGCAGGAGAGTGATGATGAGGGGCCTGAATGGGCGAAGCAGACGTTGTTTGGTGAGATTTCATTTTCCGCCCAACGCGTCATTTTGTTTCTACGGGCTACGATTCGGAATCCTGATATTGTGATTTTGGATGAGGCGTTTAGTGGCATGGATGATGCGGTGAGGGATAAGTGTTTGCTTTTTCTCAGTTGGGGGGAGGGCAGAGAGGTGGATGAGAGAGGCAGAGTTGTGGGGATGGGGAGAGGAGGTGGTGTGGTAAAGGGGTTGCAGGAGCATCAGGCGTTGCTTTGTGTTAGTCATAGTAAGATGGAGGTGCCCGGGTGTGTCAGGGAGTGGGTATGTCTTCCTGAGCCTGGGACAGGACCGCCGAGGTTTGGGAAGTTTGATGGGCCGATTGAGTTGGATGAGAGACGTTGGAAGGAGGTATGGGGGGAAGTTTAGATACATTTTTTCCAATCAACATGTCGTAACTTTTATCAATTGCCCTACGCCTTTTCTTCATGAAGCTTCGCGTCCTTCTCCCCACCGATTTTCTGCGCCTTCTCCAAAATCTCCCCTGCCAACCTCTCAAGATAAAACCTCGACACATCCCCTGGTATATCCTTGAATGCCCTTACAATCTTCTCCACATCTCTTCTCCCATTCTCGTACGCCTGCAAGTCCCTGTTCCCGTAAACATCCTTGCCCGCCGCATACCCCTTATTCAGGCCCTTCCAAAACACGTTTACCGCGACACTAACACAGTCCTCTGGCGTCGCCGTGTGACTCCACATGGGAGGGATGAAAAGGACGTCTCCGGGTGCGAGAGATGCTACGTGCGGGTGTGTACGACGTAGCTTGTTGTTTTTGGACGTCAGGACATCGGTGTTTGACGAGGAGCCTCCTGGTGGGAAGTCTAAGAGGGAAACATCAGAGGGTGGGTAGAGAAACAGTGTCTTTTTGCCGTGAACTTGGCATAAAATATTGGATAGGACATCGTAGTGCAGCCATAGAGACACTGGGCCTGAGATGCGGAGCGGAGAGCTGTGGTAGTTTTCCTTGACTATTTCACATACATCTGGGATTCTAAAGTCATTAGCGATGCTGGGGAAGTCTTCTTCGAGTTTTGTAGGCAGTTTGTTTGGCTGGCTCGATGATACAGCACGCAAGTATTCATGGGAGCCTTTTGCGATGCCGTCAAGGAAGTCGGTGGTGGATTTCTTCACGTAGGAGAAGTTCTTGTCCTTGAACGTCATCCGATCGGATGAGCACTCATGCACTACGATTTCCCTTTCTGGGCCAATGTTCTCTTTCAGGTAGTCCAGAGTCCAAAGATCTGTGCACGGGCCAATGTCAAGGCCGGTCATGATGGCGGGTTTCGAGGAGGCAACGAGCCTCGCAAAGTCATCTGACGAACTGACCTGGGTCCTTTGAACTTCGGCCGTACGTGCCGCAACCACAGGCTTCTCTTTCCCACTTGCCTTCTCTCGAGGACCATCACGTCTTGTTTCAGCTGCATTCGCTTGTCTTGTGCCTTTTGTGCCTGCTGTGCCGCTGCCAACCTGACTCGGCCCAATACGACGCCACGACTTGGCCCCTTGGGTAGCGCCAGGGAGGATGGAAATCGGATCTTGGTTCCAGTAGCTGCCCATCGAGAAGCATACCGCTCCTCCTCCTGCAAGCACAATCTCGCCTCGAGAGGATGAAACGGCTCCTACGCCCACTAGCAAAGGCCACGACGTGTGGGGCGAGACGTGCATGCTGGGACGCTCCACTTGAATGATCGCGCCCTTGCATGTCAAGAGCAGAAAGTCGTCTGATAGACTGTGGATATGCTTCTTCGAAACACCTCCAATCATCAACAGTGCATCGTTCCAGGGGACTAGGACAGAGCCTATACGCGCGTGTGCAGAATTTGTCAGGCTACTGCGCATGTCATTGGTGCGGTCCCTAAAGCTCACTCGTGGTGTTGGTGTGGCGGAAATGGACCACTCCCATAAGGCATCGTCGACAACTACGCCGCTCTCGTTGCCGCCTCCTGTGAGTAGCCCGCAGTTTCTGGCTGAATTGATCGTACACGTTGCGGCACCAAAACGTGGAGACGGGTGCGGTCCGTCGACGGAAATGCTGTGCCAGCCGGTGTTGGCAGTCCACAGAGCACAGTAATTGTTGGCGTCAAGTACTGTGCCGTCGCTGGCTTTGCCACCAAGTACTAAGACTCCATGCGTCTGTGCCTCCCCAGACCCTAGTTGAACGGCGACTGCTGAGTGACGATAACGAGCTGGCATGAGATCATCTACTTTGGTCCAAGTTCCATGCTTGAAGAGCCAGCAATCTGCGCATGCTTGGGTGGGTGACCCACGTCCTCCGACCAACAACGCCTCACCATCTTGCATCGATGTGATTGTATGGCACATACGTGCAGCAGGTAGCAGATTAACAGGTTGAATAACATGATCCTGGTCAGAGTCCTCCTGTCTCAGCATGTCCATATCGGCGAGACGGGTCTGCGTTCCTTGTCCACCGTAAAGAGCCACCGTATCCTTGTCCAATGTGAAAGCCGCCGGGAAACGGCGTAGCGTCAAGGTAGCATCATTGTGCTGCTTCCAACAATGCAGGGTAATACTCCCCGCGTCGGTGCCATTTACGCACTCCTTAGTGGCTGTCTCCTCGTGGATCGGTTCATTTGACCCCTGTGTCTCTACGTTGGAGGCGACAAGCAGGAAATAATGGCCGCCGAATAGCGCAAATTCCTCCCACTCGTCAAAGGGCTCAGTGGCATTGATCGTGCGTCTGAGGCTAGGAGGGGTAAACGAATCATCGGACCAGAGGTCCCACAGATTACGAGCCATGACAAGCGTTGGCCAGCCGGCGTTGCGGAACCGAGCTGCTTGTTGATCCAGTGATGAATGTAGCTTAACCGCTTTGATTGACGCCTGCAATTTGTCAAAGTGAGAGAGCATAGTTTTAGCGAAGGGGTGTTCTGGGCCTTGAGGAAGATATTGTTCTGGACGGCATCGAGTCAGTGTGGGACGGGGAGTATACAGATATGCAGGATCTTTTTTTACCTAGTATACAGAAGCGGGCTATGATGGTCAGTAATTTCCTTCAATTGGATCTTCGAGCCGACTTACCGTCTCCGATGGTGCTGGCCCACTGTATCAGTGCATCAGAGTCCTTGAGCGGCATGTAAGTCACAGACACTTCGGCAACGAATAAAATCGAGGTTGCCGAAATATCAAACTCGGCTCGAAGGACTCTTTCAAGTGTTGCAAGATCTTTGAGGTCGCAGCCTAGTGCCATATAGCCGTCACTGCGGAGAAGTATAGGCTGCTCGGTCTGACGGAGCTTGGTCTTCAACAAGGCGTTTCGAAGGAGGTCATTGCTTAGCATACGATCCCGCTTCTTCCCCATCAATTGCGGATAGTCAACATCCACAAAGGTAGCTGATTGTGCGAGAGAAGGATACCTGTACCAGAACTGGAAGGGCAAGGGATCACTCCTAGGAGTCAGTGCCATCTGGCATAAAACGAGCTGATGCCGAATATCTTACTCACTATCCACACCCAAGATTCACAACGACTTTTGACTTTCCATTCTCTTCTTCCAAGAACCTATGAACTGCCTGCTCGATGGCATGCATTCGCAGCCAGTAGCCGCGGTTGATGAGCGGGTCTTTTTTTTGGACATGGTCAGCCTGCTAGACTAGTACCCCAAGTGGGTGAGCCACATACTGCGACGAACAAATTTTGGCACAAATGGCTCATAGAAGTCTGGTTCATGGTTGAGATACAGTTTGGAAACGCTTCTCTTGGATACAATGCTACTGTCATTTGTCTGGTGCTACGTCAGTCCCGTGACTGTGGAAAAAGGTGGCGGTCGTGAGGGTGGTGGACGGCCTCACGTTCATAATGTCAATATCTCTTCTCTCGCGCAGGGATTTCTGGTTACCCTTGCGTTTAGCAGAGCCCTTCTTGGGCCGCGCACCAGCATCTGTCACCATGCCTGGGGTTGGGGTTGCTCGTAATGTGGAGGGATAGTTACTGAGAAGAGTAATGTTTTTGCTGGGCTGGTGCCTCAGCCACAACGTGGGGCTGAGGCTGACGTCGGGATCCCTGCATGCGCGTGAACCATGGCCGGCAGGTGGGAAGCAGCTACATACAAGTTGTAAATAGTCTCTAGACATCTCCTGCTGCGCGTTCCAACCTCCATACCGACATATCAGCTACTTCATCGCCATCGCTTCGGTACAAGAGGATACTTTACACGTCGCCCACAGGGCTGACCGCTCACAAACGGCTGCCCCAAGCTCCACTACTAGGCTGTCACTTGGGTAGCTCACAGCTATTACAGCTACAGCGACAACTACTCTCACACAGCGTCGACAACACCGAGAGCGGCACATCCGGAATCTCTCTAAAGCCATGAACTTTGTTACATTCAACCAGGATCACAGCCACCTGGGCGTTGGTATGTCGTGTGCACACCTGTGGCGGCATCGAAACTGACGTAGTTACTCACCAGGCACCACAAATGGGTACCGCATATACACAACCGACCCGTTTAACAAGCAGTCCGAGTCGCGCGAAGGAGATGTTTCCAGCCTTGAGATGCTTTTCTCGACGTCGCTGGTTGCGCTAACATTGTCGCCCCGAGTGCTTCGGATACAAAACACAAAGGTTTGTGGCATGGGAACATGCGCTGTCTTGGCTAGGCACTGACAAGGCCAAGAGACACTCCACGATATGCGAAATGACCTTTAGGACGGCTATCCTCGCTATGCGCATGAACAGGAAGCGCCTGGTTGTCGTCCTGGAATCAGAGCTTTACATCTACGACATAAGCAACATGCAGATGCTCAAGACCGAGAAGACGTCACCAAATCCCAACGGTAAGACGGCCCCGCCAAATGATTCACAGTCGCTAACATGTGTAGCTATATGCGCCCTCTCTGCGTCGTCAGAAAACAACTATCTCGTGTTCCCACTGCCCACCAAAGCCGCACCTGCAACCTTCCAACCACCCTCGCATGCGCCGCCAAAGACTGATCACATCGCGCCAACAAGTGGAGAGGTATTGATATATGATGCGACCAAGATGGAAGCAGTCAACGTCATAGAAGCGCACAACTCTCCGCTGTCGTGCATTGCCCTCAACAGCGATGGTACCCTGCTTGCGACAGCATCGGAAAAGGGCACTATTGTTCGCGTGTTCTCGATTCCAGATGCGCAGAAACTATACCAGTTCAGGAGAGGCTCTATACCAGCGAGGATATACAGCATGTCGTTCAACTCGGCCTCAACACTACTGAGCGTCTCCTCGGCAACGGAGACGGTGCACATCTTCCGTCTGGGTGCGCCCAATAGCAGGAGTAATAGCGTGTCTTCGGGACCTACGCGGCCGGGGGGTTCTGCCCATCAGCGAAATAGTAGTCTAGCAAGCGAAGAGGCATCTGACGAATTCGGTGCTAGTACAGCAGACATGGCGCCTCCAGAACGGAAAGCAATCAACCCCACTTTGGGAAGCTTGATACGCCGCACATCCCAAACGGTCGGAAAGTCATTCGCTGCTACCGTGGGAGGGTACCTGCCCAACGCAGTAGCGGAGATTTGGGAACCGTCGCGCGACTTTGCTTGGGTCAAGATACCACGCTCACCCAACAGCTCGTCGTCGGGCCCAGTAAGGAATGTGGTTGCGCTTAACAACAATGGGCCTCAGATCATGGTTGTCACTAGCGAGGGCAACTACTACGTCTTTAATGTCGACCTCGAAAAGGGAGGCGAGGGCACCCTGTATAAGCAATACTCGTAAGATACATGTTTGCTCGTTCTTGATCAACTTTTGCTAACGTCGACAGTCTTCTCGAACCGAACGAACTTGCCGCAAGCAACTCCCACGACCTACCGGAATAGGCTTCCCGCTTTATGGATTTTCTGATCTGATTTGTGAATGTGCTTGTGGCGTCTTGGTGCATTGCCTCTGGCGTTTGGTGGTCTCGTATTATTCCCCGTGGACTGGCGTATCCTTGTGTTTGGTAGTGCCATAGCCCACACTGACGTACTGGCGAATACCTTACAGCTTTGTTGTACAGCAATACATGTGTTCCTGTTTGTGCGCAGCACTTTGTACCTTTGGTGATGTCATTGAATATTCTATCTGGACGCTGATTGAGCTATACTGCAGCATCATGCATGAACAGATATCGTGAGTGTGAGGTGCGGCGATCCAGCTGCAGCAGGCCCGCAGCGGGCGTGTTTAGCGCAGCCCCAGACCCCGCCCCTGCGTCATTGGCTCTCTTTTGACAGCTCCAGCTCCCAACTCCGCTGCCTGATCGGGAACCATACTTGAACCTTGACAACCACCATTTCTTTTATCACCCCACACATCCCCTCTCTCTGTCTCTCGCCTGTTACGACATAAATCCTACACAACTGCACCAACTGCACCAAAGATTAACCCCCCCCCCCCCCCCCCAGACATGGTCCAAACAAATACAACGGGCAACCCGCTCAGCGCGGGTTCGCTCGCCTTGTTCATGGCCACTTCGCTACCTAAGGGAGAGGCATCACAGCTCAAGAACGGAACAGAGGCTGTTGCACTGGCAGTCCACGCTGGCATGCTTGCTGTCGGTTTTCGTCTCATCGGACTGGGCGAAGACGAGCGCATAGGTAGGCATTCATGTCCTCTACTTGTCTGATTACCCATCATAACTTAGATACTCACAGAAGCGCACGCAGACGCCGAAGACCCAAAGGAACTACCTGCACAATGGAATGCCTCCTCCTCTTACGCATTTCGATATGCACACGCACAGTCAGCTATGGAGTTTCTTGTCAAGGTTAATAGATTGGGAGGCAAGGCTGTTGTCTTCGCTCTGGCTGTAGGCGACGACAAGACGACACATTTCGAACTCACCACAAAAGACTACCTCTCCGAATCACAATTACCCTTTAGCGTTCCCGAAGGAACTTCAACAGAGGATGCATCACAAAAGTTGCAAGATCTCTTCATCTCACCCGGCCGGCTGAACGATCTTGGCTCGCTGCTCAAAATCTCTGTGATCCAGAAGCTGGCGCCACGTTTGAACAAGCCCGGCTATGAGGAAAGCACAACAGATCAGGAGCGCACACCCACAGCAGATCGACAGGATCCCTCACGAAGTGATCCTCCCAATCCACAGCAGCCATCGGCTGATCCTGACCCCGCGCGACCCCACCCATTCAATGATCCTCTTGCTGCTCCACCACGGTCCGGCCGACATCTGCCTGAACCCATACCCGGCTTTGACGATGAATTGGACTTGGACCGTCGGCCAGGTCGTTTCCAAGATAATCGAAATCCCATCAACATTGGTCATGACGACTTGTATCCACAGGGACTCGGGCCCAACGATCCTCTACGACCACATCTAGCAGGTGGCCTACCAAGACCAGGTGGTTTCGGTGGCGGCGGTATGCACCCTACGTTTGACGATCCGCTATTTCGTGGTCAAGGCGGACAAGGCGGCTACGATCCAATGGCTCCTCCGGGCGCGCGATACGATACGTTTGGACCCGGCGATCCGAGAGCAGAGGATAGAGGACGAGTCCCCCGCTTTCCCGGTGGAGGAGGAGGTGGTTTCGGCGGACCTGGAGGTTTCGGCGGCCGGCCACCAAATCCGTTTGGAGGCTTTGGGGACGGCGATTTCATCTAAACAGGCAAATGTGAGCAGATTCTCAAAGAAATGGATGAGATGATGGGTGTTGATAACGCGAGGAAAAGTCTGCGAGTAATGAATTTTATGACGACATTTGATCAGTATTGCCGATGACGCGCGTGCGGCACAGTTGGAGCTACAGTGCCCTTGACATGACAATCTGCATCGGCCGAGGCACCACGTTTGCAGATTGACTCAGGCTATGTAGTGATATTGTACAATAAATCCCATCTCTTGATTGCATGTAGGCTGTGCCGTTTGCTTTTCCTTTCTCTGTTCCTGCAAGTCCCGCCTTGTTTTTTTTTTTTGCTTACCCAGGATGTTCTGCCCAGTTGCGTTGCTTGTATTCAAAAAAAAAACCCCCCAAAGTCCCTTCTTCAATTACAGAAAAGCAAAAAAAGCGCGGCAAACTATCAGAACCCCACTGTTCTCCCTAATCTTACCCATGGCCCTTCACCAGTGTATATGTGTGTGTGTATGTTTCAAATCAAATGTTCACAAACTACCTATCATAAGAGCGAAATAATGGCATGGCCTACGAACACCATCGATCTTTCCCCCCCATCTTTTTTCTCTGTTTCCTATGTCTAGCACAGCACGGCAGAAAAGACAATCCATAAGACTGGTGTTGTGTTTCAGCATCTCCAAAGAGTTGCTTGCAAGTAGACTGTGTACGACACGTGTAGCGCTTGGCTTGGCCCTTTTTTCTCTTGCACACATGTCTCTTCGAAGCTAGTTGGAAGTGGGGGAAGGAATGAGGCTTAGACTTCAAGGCAGAATCGTCTTGAATTAGTTACTGTGCTACAGAGTGTGTATGCGGGGTTATCTTTAGTACGATTTCTATTTTGCATCTTGCAGTAGAAACAGATGGTTTATTTTCTCTTTTAGCATGGTAAAGTAGGTGGGTTGGAGACTGTGAAGAGTGGGTGCCTAGAGTACACACACGCCTGGGCCGATCTCATGTATTGTGCATATTGGCTGAGGATCGAATGACGCGTTTTCTTTTTTGGTAGGATCACTGGGAACAGGTACATATGGATAAGGAACCTCGGGATTGGCTTCCGTGTACTGATCTTGGAAGGTCGAGTGGTGCACTGGTGCATTGTGTGGGGAAGGGGGGTTGCGATTGAAATCTGCGACGAACGTGCTTCTTTGAGGGGAGACGGATTTGGGAATATTGGGGACAATTCACGCACATTGGTAGCGCAAGTGCAAACGCTCGCGGTAAGAGGTAGGTGACAGGCTCCGTCTAGTCACAAGGGGGACCGGGGTGATGAACAATGGGCTGGACGTGTGTGGGTAGTAAGGGCAAGTATCAACATCCCACACATGCACCTGGCTGACCACTCTTCCCACTTGTTGCCTTAGTCTCCTCCACTCCGCTATACTCCTGCTGAGAAATTTACCAGTAGAATCACGCGGTGTGGCGCGCTGCTAGGCAGTCCTTTCGCCAAGTAGCCGCCTACGAGCCTGTTGCTCTTGTCCGAGTCATCCTGGTTTTTTTTTCGTGGTGCTCGTCTCAGCTCAGGTTGCGGCGCCTTGACAGGAGATGTGGGAGGATGGTGAATTTACCAGGCAGTTGGGTCGAACACGGCTCGCATATTCTTCGGTTCCAAAGGGTTGCCCTTTGACAGTTGTGGCGAGACGAACCCGAGGAGCATTCATCAAATACTGCCGGTGGCTCAAGACACCGGGCGAGAAAAGAAAACAAGCGACTTGGTCCATGGCATTGACTACTGTTTTTTTTGCTGGGACCTCTAGTATCGGCGTCCTTGGTGGGTGCGTGTGAAAGTCTTGTGTTACATCAGACCGTGCTGTTGGCAAGGGGGGACATGTGGGGGGAGGAGCGAGAGCAAAAAACCGCGCGTGCACGGCGCTTCTACCTAGGCGCGGAAGGGCGGGATGCAAGGCGACCGAATGACAATCCTTATCGTATCGGATTTGTGCCTTCCTGAAGGATCGGTGCAAAAATTCGTCCACCACTCCCACGCAAGACTTTTGTTGCCTCACTTTTCTGCCGTGTAACGGTCGCATCCATAGAGTAAGCACTGTAGTCTTCCTTTCCGTAGTATCTCCACCATATGCTCACTCTTTTTTCTTTACCTGGCTGACAAACTTGTGGCATTGTACATGTCCCATCCTAGTTGACTAATCCGTCAATAGGCTGGATGACGCTATCGGTACACGAAGTCCAAGGAACATGCCCCCACCGGACATCAATTAATCCGGTCAACCGCAAGTAGTATATGTCGACAATGGTGTGTTTACCGGAAGCATACAGCCTTGTGTGCCTTGGGGCGCTTGAAGAGTACGAAAATCCCGGGTGCCGGCATACCCTTCGCATGGCCTTGCCTTCCGCAAGCCGTTGTCTTGCACACAAGGAGACTCTCGTAAGCACAAACGCTTAGGAGAGGGATTTTGCCGCCATTTGCACCAACAGTAACGGCGCAATGGGCCTGCCGATTGCCTAAAAGAGCGAATATCCCTCTTTTCATACCCCTTGCAAGTGATTTTAGGGGCCGAACACAGAGCCATCGTTCATTCCGTTGGTTGCAGTGCCGATCGACAGGCGCCGGGCGCTTAATCAATGGCCACAAAGAGACAAATTACTCCACTCTTAGTGACGATGTCGATATGCAAGGTGAAGTGTTAAGAGTTTCTGGGTCCAGGCTGTTGATATGCGCCGTGCATGAAGTTTTTTTTGTCGCAAATTTGCTGATGCTTCTGTTTGGCCATGTTTCTGAATTCAGTGTACTGGGCTTATTACCGCAGCTTTGTTGTCAGCGGCCATTGCCTAGGGAGCTGATCAACATTTTGTGCAAACGCATTCTTACCGAACTTATGAATGTACGCCCGTCGGCACACTACTGGACCCAAGGGCTTACATGTGATAGCCATGGACTTGCTAGACATACATGTGGTTGCATGCCACGCAGTCGCTACCAGTACAGTGGACAACGTGTCATTGTATGTAGTTGCAGTACGCGATGTGGACAGACATTGCAGGCTGGGCCTTGATGTCTTGCTTGTTGTTTGTGTTTCGGGAGCTCGTACGATGGACGGGTCAGGGAATCAGGGGTGGTGATTCCCCGCAAGCGAGATGAAGAGGATCTAGTTCTCTCCCCGCGGAGCGCAAAGCCCATCCTACATCTACGCTCTGTCCGCGTTCATCCCAGAGTCGCTTGACACGATCGTGCGTTTTCGCCGCGTAATGAGACCAAGCTGAAGATCTCGGAGGAAACAGCCGATTGTAGCAAGCAAGATGGTTGCGGGATATGCCAATTACCGGCCCGATCTGGCCGTGCCACAACGTTGCGATCTCAGCAGGAGAAAGGGGGCCGGGGAGGGCCGGGGGNGGCATTCATGGCGCAACGCCATCAGCTTGACTTTCTTTTTTTGTCCATGTGATGGCCGACCTGA